ATCGATTTAATAATAAACGAAAAGGCAAAACGTTTCAACTCTTATGTATTTTTTATATTTCACAGCGAATTTAAGACATTTAATTTTTACTTTTTCCTAGATAAATTTTATTTGTATATGAAATATAAAAGCAGCGTTTTTGAACGACTTAAATGGCTAAAGCTTCTTCACAGATCTATCAAAGTCTCTTTTTCTTCTAAATACCAAATTGAAGCCACCTTGTTAAATCTTTTTTCAATTATGTCACCAAGGTTTTAAGCTTCGCTGGAGGCAAATCAGAAACTTATTTCAAATTTTCGGGATAAAGGGGACACAAGGTTTTCTTGTCCATAAAAATTGGGAAGTTAAAAAATTAAGAAAACAAGAGAATGAAAATGTTTTAAACTGATTCAGTTCAAGTATGAAACTTCTAGATAATCTTATCAAAATTCACACAAAACAGAAAGGCAAAACAAAATAAATCTTGCCGATAAACATGAATATTTGAAGTGATTCATTATAAAATCCAAAAAAAAATATTAATGCGGTTTCTTGGCTTTCGTTTTTGCTGCGTCAGATTTTGATTCTCCATTTTTTATTAACAAAAAAGGAAATTGAATTTGCAGGCGTCTATAAACCCAATTGTTATTGCTTTATCGGAATTCCTCCAGAGGATTCAATTTAAGTTGTTATGATAGGTACATTTGGATATAATATTATTCATTGATAAGGGTCACAAATCGAAATATTTGTTATAGGTTTCGGTGAAGGTTAAGACATTATCCTTTATCTTTTTAAAAGTTTTTTTTCTAACATATAGCTTGAACTTAGCGTCTTTATTTCAAATCTTAAGAAATGTTACAAAAAGAATTCAGATGCTTAAGGGAAAAATAAAAGATTTATAATTTTGTACCAAATCCAAAACAGTTTGGCACGAAGAAATTTATTCAGTTAATACAGCACTTTATAAATATTTTAAAGCAAAGATACTTTACTGCCACAAAAAATTCCCAGCTGTCTTCGTTTCATGAATGAATGAATGATTGAATTTTCTAGAAATAACAGTACTTTGGGCAAAAGAGGCAAAAATAATCGATGCATAATTTCGTATGCAGAACTGCATGAAAATGAATGAATGAATAAAAAAAATCAATGTAATGCTGGCGATAAAAAGAAAGCATGCTTCAAATATATTTCCACTTTTTATATGCACATTCATACATACAAACTTATGAAACAGTAGTGCAATATGCCTCCAGCAGAAAATTTTGAAAGAGCTTTAAAGAAACTTGCTATTCATATTGTAGAGTTCAAATGTGTATAAATAATTCAGGTAGCTTTTATAATATGCTTGTGCTCTCACATCCTATTTCTCTTTTTCGTCTTTTATATTAAATATATATAAAGGACATTTATTGAGTGAAAAAAATTTTAAATGCACCATAAACTTTACTGCAGTTATATACCTAGGAGAGTTTTAATTATTTCTTTCCTTCCTTCCATCTATTGTTTTAAATATAACTCCTATCCTTTTTGTATTGCTATATTTAGCGCAAAATTTATTTACATTTTGATACAGTTTGCACAGCTTAATTAACAGATACACAAATTAAGTCTGTAAAATATTTTTCTTAATTTTTTTTTTCACTTTCATAAATATTTTTTAAGCAATAAACTCAGTTCTATAATACTTCTCAGATTTCTATAATGTTTGATATTAACTTACGAAGAAAATTCAACCATACCCCTCTTCCCCTCCCCCAACCCCCTTCAAAAAGGTACTGGATACGCTTCTGTATTATTTATATTAAATTCAAAAAATAAATTTTTGCACGTTTTCAAATTTCAAAGCAATGCGAAATAAATATGTGTGAATCGATTCAGCCAAATGTTTGGATCATTCATAATTTTAGCTGTTTAGCATATGACTGAGTAATGCACACATGAAAATAAAACACACCACATACCATAAAAACTTCAATCAAATCAACTTTTGACATGGAAAATTATTTCAAAATTTATGACTTTATTCAATTTGAAAATGTCAAAAATACTACATTTGAATAATGTATGAGTCATCACGAAAATTATATATTTTCTGAAAATATTCTAAAATGATCTTTAAATCTTATTTAAATTGAATAGTTTCAAACAAATAAATTATCTAATAGTAATAATTATTATACTAATACTTTAAACTATAAATTATTAAGTATAAAGCTTATAAAATTTACTTTGATTTATCATATTCGTGATCAATTTCTGTCGAATAGGAATTTTCACAAAATATTATAATTCATTATTCTATTAAAAAAGTTGATCTTCTATTAATTTCAAAAATTAATTAAAAATCTTTTGAATTTTTTGAATAATTTTCAATAAATCAAATTTCCCTTGGAATTTCCAAATTTTAATTTGACATGCATCCGCCGTTGTGAAAGAACGGAAATAAAAATATTTTTTTCACACTTTAGATCTAGAAAAAATAATATCAGGGGAGCTTAGCTTGCTATAAAATATATTAATACAAAAATATGGAAAGGGAGAAAATTAAAAAAGTTTATGGTAACTTTTAAGAGCGGAAGCATTGGTTTTGGTTTCAAATTTAATTTTCAAACTATGAATTAATTGTGAACATGCCCTTTTGTATCTCATTAATACTATCGGATTCTTTGCATTAGCACGCTAAACAAGAGACATTAATTTTAAATATTATTAATCTTAATTTTTTTAATTTCCAGATTTTATTATTTTTTGCAAACTAGTCATAAAAAAAATAAAAACAAGGATTTAGGAAAAAAAAACTAAGGATGGATTCTCAATCAATCCAATTTTTATACAATGTTTAAAATTAGACAAGTGTTAGCTTCTACCGCTTCAGAGGAATCTCCATGGAGATTCCATAGCGACCTTATTTAACACAATTGAATGATACTCCAAAAAATTCGCGCATTGGGCTTGAGCATTTGATGTGTGATGTCACCCGGTAACGAGAAAATTAGAAGAGAAGATTGCAATCAATATTCACTTAAAGTAATGAAAGTACGTTCAATTAATTCGAAAATGATGCAGAAATTCATGCTCATTGTGGTGTTTGTTGTGTGTTTGAGCTCCAAAGCGCAGCGTGCGTTCGTTTCCGCTGATGAAGATGGAATGGAAACGACAACATTGTTTGGTGAGTTCTTTAAATATTTTATCAAAATCTTTCCATAGCTGTCATATGTCGACATAATAATATTTTGTTCTGCATGAATGTCATGACAATCATAATGACTAACGTGTAGAAAATAGGAAGAGCAATAAATGTTTTCATCTCTTCTTTTTTGTTGAGTCTACAAATGGTTTTTCTTTCAACTGTCATTCTTATTATTTTCTTCTGTATTTCGGCATTTTTTAAGGTAATAAGAAGATGGAAGAACAGCAGTAATTCAATCTTTATTTAAGTCTTTCTTGTCACTTTTCTTATTCTTTTTATGACAAAATTTTAAGGATTTATCATGATGATTAAAGCTTTGCCAAAGGGTCAGTTTCCTTCATCAAAAAAGCTTGATGAATTTTCTATCAAAAGATAACAAGATGCTTTAGCTTTTGCTCATAATACTTAGGATAATAATCTTGTTTGTCTGAGCTTTAAAAATAAATTTCCGATAAAACGATATTCGCTTAACTAATTTCACCCTTTCTTCCATTTTATTCATTAAAAATTCGTCGCTTCTAGTTATCAGACTGAAACAATCTAAATTTATCCAACAAAGCAACAATATGAGCATTAATAATCACTCAAGCTTCTAATGTGAATGACACTTTTCATTCCCTATTTTATACTCCTCTATCAAGAAGCTCTAAAGAAGATTTAGAGGACTTAAGAATGACTTGTTGATCAAGATTGTATATTGTCAAGAGCACTTCCTTATTAAGTTAAATATTTTGTATATTTTATAGCATACACTTTGATTGCTCAAAAGATTATATTTCCAAATTCTTAACTTTTTAATAATGTTAATTTTTTTTTGTGGAAGATAACCTTAAAGATATGCATAAAAGTAACTAAATTTAGGGAGACAAGACGCTCACTTATTTAATATGGAAATCTAATATTTGGTGCGGTTTGAAAACTTTTTTTTATGATTTGAATAATTTATGCAATTATTATGAACACCTCTCAAACAAATGAATGGAGATGTCAGTTCTGTTTTAAAAATATATAAAGTAGGCTGCACAGCTACACACATTATGAAAGTAGAAGGAAATACCAAAAAATTTACATAGTTCATTTCCATGTCTGAGCTGTACTTACATTTGTTGATTGCATTTATGATTCAATTTATCATAGAAGTAGAAATATTTTGTATGTACATTTTTAAGGAAATGCTACATATGTATGGATGTTCAAAATTACGAGTGTAAAGTTTTCGAATAATTTATATTCAGTATGACAATGCATGTGAATTACATGTGTACTTTCTCATCACAAACATATTTCATCGCTGAAGTGAAAAGTTTCATTTTGATTCCCAAAAAAAAATAGGAAAAAGTTTATAGAACAAAATCAAGTACTTAATAAGATCAAACTCAATTCTCTCGAATTTCAAAAATTAAAACAACTCAATTTTTTCTGCAGAAATTGAATTCGAGTACAAGATATTCTAATCATGTATTATCAGTTTTTATGTAAATATACATAAGAAATACTTGTTTGACTGAAGATTTCTTACATTCATCTTCGTGCTTTCACATCCACTAACATCAAACAGTAGAAGTAAAGTAAATTGCATTAAATAAAGCAAATAAATTATTTATACAAGTTATTATCATAAAACAGGTTTTTGTTTTATGCAAAAAATAAAGAATTGTAGAGAAGATTGACTGATAAGAAGTCAAGATTGTATATCCAGTAGAAATCTTACGTTTATCGAGAAATGTTTTATGAACTGTTTATTTGTTTGTTGCTCATTAAAAGCTGTACAAGTTCAAATAGAATTCATAAAGGTTCTTGTGGAATATCAAAATATGAAAGTTTAATGGAAAATCCGCATTTCATTCATGGTGATTTCCCATGGTAAAACGAAATAAATTTATTTTTTAAAAATCATAAAACATTTTTGTTTGCGTTCTGTATAATATAGGATTATAGCTTTGTTATGGGATAAAGGTGAAGATGAGCCTTTATATTTCTGTGGTGGAGTCTTAGTATCAAACAAAAAAATTATTACGGGTAACTTCCCATTAATCTGTTATTGTGCAAAAATATAATTTATCCTGCATTCTTTTATGTCTATACAACACGTAGCAGCAAGTTGTTTCTATAACAATGAAAGTTCCCATCGATTTTTCCTTCGCGATATTTTGATTGTATTTGGATGGCATGATTTGAGGAAGAAATTTGAGATCGGAAGATTTATCACATCACCGACAAAAATCCATATTCATCCAGAATGGAATACATACGTAGGAAATAATGATGCTGATATAGCAATTTTGGAGATAGAAGAGAATATTCAATTTACTAAGTTTATCCAGCCAATATGCATGTGGGAAGCGAGTATTAATCCAACTATCGCGTCAGGATGGATCATCGAATATAATGAAAAAAGAAATATTCCACAAATCCATAAGATATCTATTCAAGAAAATGAGCACTGCTTGAATGGAAATTTTGATATTTCTAAAGCTTCTAAAAATCGTGTTGCCTGCGGAAAAGTAATTGAATTATGTGAAGACTGCCTACTGAACAGAGGTAATGGTATATTTATGAAAATTGGAAATTCTTTTTATCTTCGAGGCATCTCATCGCCATGGCAAGATGAACACGCAAATAAAAGTACAAATATAACCTTTACAGATATTTTCCAATTTAAGGAATGGATAACAAACTTTGACACAGTAAATGAAATAGACACAAATGAATTCGAGTGTGGTGTTATGAGTAAATCAGCAGGTTTAGTACAAGGAAATCAGTTTACATTGCGTGATCAATTTCCATGGGTTGTGTCGATTGTTTTTGACGGGGGATTTCATAATAATGGAGCACTAGTTTCAGACCAACATGTAATAACTTATGTCGAAACTGTCGCCTCGTGGAATAAAATTTTAAACAGATACCTCCCAGATGACTTGACTGCATTCAGAATATATTTAGGGGCGATAAAATATAATGATGCAACGAAACATGGGTCGATGATGACAAGTCCATTGGAGATTATTTTACACCCATATATTCGGAGAATTGATGACACTCCTATTAACTCAATAGCTTTAGTCAAAATGAAAAAAGCAGTCCAATTTAATAAGTTTATAAAACCAATTTGCATATGGGATTTAGACAATGAATTGCATTCAATTGAGAAAAGTCAATTGTATGGTGTTGGCTATGGAAGAGATGAGAGTGGAAATTTTTCTGGAATTCGAAAGCATGCAAAAGTTTCGGTAATGGATGAAGAATATTGCAAATATATCTATTCGGATGCATTGAAAATATTCAATGAAACGAAATTGCTTTGTGTTCAAGGGAATGGAAAGGAAACGCCTTGCTTTCGTGATACTCCACTTTTTGTTAAATTTAATGAAAAATGGTACTTGCGAGGAATTTTATTACGTTTACGTTATTGGACATCCAATGGAACGTGCATTGCTGATAAGCCACTTTTATATGAGGACATTTCTCAAAACTCACAATGGATATTGTCACAAATTAAATATTAAATGAAGTTATTAAGCTTTATGTATATTCATAAATATAAAAATAATTCATGATGAAAATGAAAATTCCAGATTGTGCAATGTTAAAGGTCACATTAAAAATTATTACACGAAGTTATGTTATGCATGTAATGTTTTTTGATTGCATTAAATCTGAAATCATTTTTTGCCGCTATGCATATAAACTTTTCTTTTAATAAGCAGAAGCTTCATTTACAAAAAGTCCTAAAGAGACGAAGTCAAGTAGTCAAAACCAACCATTGAGAATAAAATTCACAAAACCCTATTTTGAATCTAAATTAAACTTAAAGCTATGCTTAACTGATTTTCTTCAACAGAATATTGATGTTTTACATGTCCTTGATTTTGTTGCTTATTTAATATTGATAAAAAATGCATAATAAGCATATATTATTTTGTATTAACGAAATTGCTATATTGAAATAAAGTACTACCTTAATACTCATATAATCTTATCAATTTACTTGAATATATTCATAAACAGATTATTAATTTCTATTTGAGAACTACAAGATTAAAATCAGTTTGTAGTTTGTGGTATGAACGATGACTTGTGAGGATTAGTTGATTGAAAATGAACGGAATATTAATTTTAATATCAATTATTAACATATATTCAGTGGCTTGTGAATCTTTTGGGATTTGTGGAAATGTTAAACAAAATGTAGAAATTTTTAATGGAACAAGTTTAATTAAACATGGGGATTTTCCGTGGTAAAATATGTATTTTGAATTCCTCAATATAATTAAAAATATCAAACGATATAATTTATTTTAAGGATGACAGCTTTAATTTTTCAAAATGCAGCAAGAATACAGTCGTATCTCTGTGGTGGAATTATAATTTCGACTCAAAAAGTTATCACTGGTAATTGAGAAAAATGTACTGGGGGTCCTCGATTTGAGTAGTTGTTTTGTTCCAAAAAATTTCTACTCAAATCGAATCTATTCAAATCGAGGCAAAGAATCCATACAAAATTACATGTTTTGTTCCAGAGTCCAAAAAATGAATCAAAACAATGAAAATTTTGATCATTTTTGCACATTTTACCTCGTTTCTTAACTTTTCCTTTGTGTTTTAGATAACTTAATTTATTTCAACGCATATTCATATTGTTTTTAAACGGAAATTCACAAAAAAAATGTTTTTGAAACAAAACAAAAATATGAGAACCTTGCAAATGTTATTTCCATGCTACGGACACGTCGAAAAGTCCGTTATTTTTTGCTTTGATTTTCAAAAAACCGTTAAATTTTCATGAATATTTCTTGCAAAAACAAGGCTTGGGCAAACGATTCTTATTCTCAGCATTGTGTTTAGCTAAGTTAAGCAAAAATCATCCCAGAAAAATACAGGAATTTAAATATTAATGCTTAAAATTGACAGATTTTCAACGGTTTTAAAATATTCAAACGCTAGGTCGACTAAATTTAAACATGTCGAAAAAATTCGACACTGAAATGTCCGTAGCATGGTTATTTCACTGAACAATTTGTAAGGTTTTTGAATTTGAACTTTTTAAACCCGTTAATTTTATATCGATTTTTTAAATTTTTACTTTAATTTTGTAACTTTAGTATTGATTTTTCTATCAATATGATAAATTCACGCTTATCGCAGTAAAATTTATGTTTTAAAATTATTTTCTGAAATGTTTTTATCAAAAATATTTGTTTTGTAAACAATTCAAATCGAAGAAAACAGGAAGAAATCTACTCAAATCGAATATTTTGGTGGGTAATAAATTTTCTGTTCAAATCGAATCTACTCAAATAGAATCTACTCAAATCGAGGACCCCCAGTAATAAAATTCACGATTGATTTAATTTGTTATTATATTCCAGCTGCTCATTGTTTACACAACAAAGATCGTCTTTTATTTCCGAAAGACGTTCTGATTGCAATGGGAGTTCATGACATTGAAAAAAAATTCGAACCTAATCGTGTCGTGATGAAATCGAATGAATTTTTTATTCACCCTGACTGGAACCCGCTTAATAAAAATTATGATTCTGATATTGCTATAATAAAAACAAGTCATCAAATTCAATTTACTGAATTCATTCAGCCGATATGTTTATGGGAATTATATCATAATATACCCGCAACATCTGGTATTGTCGTTGGTTATGGAATTAATGGTCAGTCAACTCACAACAAAGAAAGAATTGCGAAAAAACTGCAAATATTTATTCATCAAAATGAAGAATGTATTGCTGCAGAGACTAAATTGAGTGTTCTTGCTTCCAACAGAACATTTTGTGGCGAATCTGTCTATGGAAACTCTATTTGTTTTGGTGACAGTGGACATGGATTCTTCGTTAAAGTCAAGAATAAATTTTATCTACGCGGAATTATTTCAGCATCACCAAAATTCGCGAATAACTCATGCACCTTTACAAACTACGGAATCTACACAAACGTTTTAAAATACAAAAGTTGGATTGATAATCCTGAAAATTGTTACAGAAATTATAACACATGTGGCATTATGAACTCAGCTGTTTCTCTCATTCAAGGTGGCAATTTTTCTCTACATGATCAATTCCCTTGGACTGCTTTAATAAAGTATTCAAGTTTGTATTATACTGGAGTGCTCATATCGCAAAAGCATGTGCTTACATATTCAGGTTCAGTTAGTTTTTGGAATGATATTGAAAAAAAGTACATACCTCAACATCTAAACACATTTATAGTGCATTTTGGAATGGTTGATGCAAACGGTCAAGATGATCCTAATGTAATCACAGTAAATCCTGCAAAAATAATTCTTCATCCTAGTTTGCAAAAAGTTGGTAAAACTGTGGTGAATGCCATAGGAATTATAGTTTTGGAAACATCCGTTCCATATAATAAGTTTATAAAACCAATTTGTTTATGGAATAATCAAAATTATTTTAATAAAGATCTGAAAATCTATGCATTTGGTTACGGAAAAGATGAAACTGGAAAACATTCAAAAGTTCGAAAATATTCAAGAATGATGCATACCTCAAATGAAGTCTGCAAAGAGGTTTATGCAGATCGTTCAAGTGCATTTGAATCTTCTAAATTATTTTGTGCTCAAGGTAACGAGCATGAGACGCCATGTGATGGTGACACTCCTTTAATTATGAAATTTGAAGATAAATGGTATATTCGTGGATTCATGATAAGCTTTCGTTATTGGATGTCAAATGAAACATGTGTTTATAACAAGCCATTATTATACGAAGATATTGCATATCATGCTCATTGGATTCTGTCACAAACAATTCTCTGATTTAATTCCCATTGTTATAATAAATAAAATCAAAGCTGGAAGCAAATACAGTGAACAAGAAAAAATAAATAACCTTTTGCTTTCCATTATTCAATCACATAAAGATTAGCTATTTTAAGAAAAAGTTTATTCCAAATTGACTATCAATGTATCTAATCTAATGCTTTTATTTCTCCACTATTTACTAAAAACAAATATAAAGAGAGCTACTAAAAATCCAAATAAACAAACAAATAGAAAAACATACGTATTTTACGTGTGTATATCCTTTTTCACTCTCATTGTTGTATAAACAACGTCAATATGAAATATCGATGAATCGCATGGAAATATTTGACAGTGAAAATAATCGAGAAATCGATACGTAATAATAAAGAGACAAAACAGTTATGCTGCAAAATTCAAGCATTTTCCAATGAACTGGAAACCTATATTGAGGATACAAATTGGAAATTTAATTCTTATTTGTGAAGCAGTTCATGACTCTTATTGACCGATCGGAAATTGATTTTTATTCTTTGATTTCTTTTTTTTTTTTGAATATTAAAATCAGGGTATGTTTGTTAATGTGATGGAAAAGTAATGGAAGGTAACGAAAAAAATAATTTGTATTTCAGGAAATAAAGTTTTCAAAAAAAATTAATATATCACCAAATATATGAGTCCAACTTACATATAATCTTCCCTTTCATTCACTAAAATTTATTCATAATAATTTTCACAAAGTTTTTTAATCAGTTTCTTAGATCGCAACTTTATGTACATATCTTATATTAAATTTCAGCACCTTAGTGGTGTCAATCAAAACAAAATGTTCAGTAAAATGTAATTTATCTTGAATCCTAAAAAAACAAATCCTATATTAGTATAGCAAACTCATATATTTTTAAGACATGTTCAACCCTTTTAAGTTTCGATGAATAAAGATTGGGAGCTTCTCTATGTTGTTAGTGTAGTGTGGTGTAGTGTTTCTTTTTACTTTATTTATGAATTTCAAGATACCACGTGAAATTCTATTCGCAACCTTCAATTAATTGAAATAATAATTATAATTTGAAATGACGAAAATAATTGCTACTCATAAATTAAATAATTTTTCACATTTATGTTACTAATGCCCTTAAATATTCATAAATATGCAAATACTTTCAAAGTATGATATACGTTTCCGCTCGCATCATGTGTTGTATTTTCACGAATAAAAAGTACAACAAGGAAAACAAATGAACCAATTACTTTGAGATAAAAGTATGATTTATTAATGTAATATTGCTCTTCCTCAAAATAATGCTGGCTTATTTATAATTAAGTCTGAAAGTCCATATACATGTTTTACTTACAATATTATTCTCTTTCGTTTTCAGATCTCTCGTCTCGAGGGAAGCTTAAATTTGGAGATCCATGCGAGACAACACAGCAATGCAGCTTTGTTGGCTCAGTGTGTCTCAATAGAGAGTGTGTATGTGAGCCATTTCTAGAGGCAACGAATCATTTCGACAAATGTGGAAAACGTAAGTTTTGTAGAAAAAAATTATATTACGTCACCATCAATTTTGCATGCTCATTCCTAATTAACGCGATCATATTGACTTCCTGTATTTTTCCTGTTTAATTACTGTAAGCAGTGGTTTTTCGCTCTTCTATAATTATTTTTTCATTCACTATAAACATTACTCACTTTTATGACTGTATTGTGCATTAGTAGTGATAGGACAAAAATATTTTTGGCATGAATCCAAAAGCATTACATTAAATTTCTTGAATTTATGTACAAAGAATGCTTTTAGAATTTTTACAATTCCGAATCTAGTGATAAAAATATTTGCAGTATGTTTAGAGTTCGTATAAAGCTACTCCTATCAAAATTTGTTAAGAACTACAAAACATATATTCAAAGCACAAACTCTACTTGTTCTATTATTCATAGTTTCTAATGAACAGAACTTACTTACAAATATTGATGTTTTAGAAGAAAATTCCATTAATGCCATTCCTTCAACATTAGATATTTTTTTTCTTTAACTTGATAGGAACTGAGTTTTTGTATCATTAAAACTTTTCTGTAATTGAAGGCAACAGTAAAGTTTGGCAAAGTAAAAATATATTTTCAGGTTTTATCAAAAAATAACACAAATTTTACTGCAATTGGTCAGAACGTTCTCAATCTACTTGTTTAATACATGTTAATGATGGAGCATTTATTAAATGGGATTACAAGTGAAATTTCTTATGGCAGAAGAGAATTGCAGTACAGAAAATATCATGTAAAAGCGTTGACCATAATTGAAGGAATATCATTTTGCTAATGAAATGCATCCTTTTTCCTTTCCTTAAAAAAATGAAACCATAATATTTCAACCCTTTGACCATTCTCACTCCTCTGTCTCAAAATTCTTCTCATGTCCATAACAGAACTTCATTCATGGCTATATAAAAATTATTTTCTCTTATCTTTCTTTACAGCTGTTTCCGTGAATGAGAGCTGTTTCTTCAATGAGCAATGTGAAACCTCCATTCCACAAACAGAGTGTCGTGATGGACGCTGCATTTGCCGATTTGATAAGATGCCAATCCTCAAGAAGGATGGCTCCATTGAGTGTATGGGTAAGTGATTTATTTTTATTTACAATCTTAGAAAATGACACATTCTTCCGGAAGAAACTCAATGATATACGTACTTACGGTTTTATATTTTGTTGTTCACTCTAGCAATCAAGCAAGATGCTCCGGCGCCTCCTAGTCAAATTAATCCCACCATGATTTTTATTCTCATCGTTATGGCGTTGATGTTTATAATCATTTGTGTGGTATTGCGTCTCTTTAGCAAGTAAGTAACAATTATAACATAATGAAATAAGCGCAATTGACCGATATGCACGACATGTTATGCGACATTAATTATTTATCATATATACAACAATAACCAACTAGTAAGAGTCAAACAACCGAGTGGATATTAAAAATTCTAATGCGTGCACGGACTCAATTCACGGTCGATTTTGGGCTTTTATAAAATTATATTCAGCTTGAATTTTTTATAAAGTTTATTTTTTATTGGTGATTGTGGAAATTTTGAATATGTCAAGTCTGGGGGGAAAATTATAAAGGAGAAAAAAGTGATGAAAATTAATCCTACTATCCTCATAATTGTTAGTATGCTTAAAGTAAATTAAGTAGAAAAAGGGTATTAACAAGCGCAATCAATTTATGAATATGTGTTCAAATAGCTTACAAATACATATTAGGCAGGTCATTCAACTTGAAAGAAGGATAGAAAAACATAAAAAATATAAACACATACGAATAACTAAATGTAGAACATGCGAATAAAAATCGATAGTGCTGTGACATGAATATGCAAAGAAAACTAAAGGAAAAAAAAAACAGAATGTGAATAAAAATATAGGGTTTTGATAATCTTTCAAATTTATTAGTCTTGATAGTGGCGATTTGATTTTCCTTCATTCATTTTAATATATATCAAATTCATAATATAATTGTATTCAGAAATAAATATAGCAGTTTTTCATAAATGCTATTGTGTTTAGCATTTAAGAAATTCAAAAACATTCAACATGTTTGCGCCATTTCGTTCTTTACTTGGCAAGGTATAATTGTGAATGTGGCGTCATGTGACTTTATTTTGTGACAAAATTGATTTTTTTCTGTTCTCCTTTGTTTCATCATTTACATTTCGAGTGCCTTTTTCTTTATTTTATTTGGTATCACACAGTTAGAAAGCTTAAAAAAGTTTTAATGGATTTAACGAGTGAGAAAATGCCAAATTTTTTTTTTTCTCATCAAAATAATGCAAACTTTTTGTTATGTCCTTTCATGCTTCATAACTAAATTTAGAAACATTCAATTTTGCAGACACAATTCTCAAAATCTCTAGAAACAGAAGAGGATCTCACTATGATAAATAAACAGAATTATGTTTCTTTTCCAATAAAATATCAAACTGTGCTGTAATGGCACTTTTCGTGTTCAGATTTACTTAAAGAAACTTTCTTATTTCATTTCAAAAATCTCCTTCCGACTTTCATTATTGAAGAAATGACTAAACCATTCTTTGAGTTGGAATTCATAAAGCCAGCAATTATCATTTTTACGCTAACAGCGCAATATCATGCTCAATTATGTGACCCCATTTAATATGATTTCTTTGTAACGAGAACCAATAAGAAGAAGACGCAAAAACTGAATTCACAATGTCAAACTAAATGTTGTTTTATGAAAAATCATTGCCTTGAACTCTTACTGAACATTATGAATTTAAAAGGACATAATGTGTTGGGAGAGAAAATATAAAGTTGCAGCACTGCATTTATAAGAAATATTATTTGACATGATCGATGGTGTCATAAGAATGAAAACTAGGGCACATAATAATTCACATGGAAAATTATTTTATAGTTAAACTGTAAATATAGAAGCATATTCTTTCATTTCATATTCACGATTTTGTTTGATCGATTTTTAATGGTGCACAAGACTAAGAACAAAATATAAAACCATGCCATCAATAAAACATCAATCGAAAAATTTGATTTAAAATTTGAAGGATTTTCTTTTTATTTTAATCATTCTTTATTATACATAAATCTACAAGAATTTACTTAAAGCTATATTTCCTTTGAAAATTAACCTTTCACACGTGAAAATTTTATGAAATCCAAGCCGGCTTCATCGACAAGTTTACGAAAAGCACCATTACTCTCATACAGCCTTGCTGGCGTGTCAAATTCAATGATATTTCCTGCCTCTAAAACCATTATTCTATCGCTATCGAGGATAGTATTGAGACGATGCGCAACAGTAAGAACTGTACAGTCAGCGAATTGTGAACGAATTGTTGACTGAATGAGATTATCTGTTCTGTATTATAAATTTTGATGTAAAGAAAAGAGCAGTAAAAAGAACAAGTAAATATGAGCAATACGAAACGAGTAAAGATGAGAAAAAAAGAAGGTTTAATCATGTTCCTTTCTTGTGTTTCGAATGAAACCAGTCAAAGAACAAAAAGTAAAAAAATTGAAAAATCAATAAAAAATTTTTTAAACTCACTCTGGATCCACATTTGCGGTTGCTTCATCCAATATTAGAATTTTGTTTTTTCTCAAGATTGCCCGTGCCAAACAAAGTAATTGTCTGTAGAGATAAGTCATATAAGTTTGAAATATGATATATAGGTATACAAAAACAGCGTTCTTGAATTAAAGAACATTCGAATGATAAAGTTTTGAGAAGTAGTAGCGTTACCTTTATCCATTTTAATTAGACAAACTAAAGTGCCGTTGTAAAAGCTCAACAAAACAGTAACAAAGGAACAAGTAGCTTTTCAATATTTGTTTTGGATTTTGCATAACAAAACAATATAAATTGCATTACATAAAAAATCCATTACAATAAAAGAATCATACCTTTGTCCCATACTGAAGTTTGAACCGCCATCAGAGACTTTTGTTTCAAGGCCGCCTGCTAGCAGTTTTATTGCATGTTTAAGTTCCACCTGAGTAAATGTTATTAGAATAAAGAATAAAAAAAGAAATTTATCATTGCGGTTTCTATTTTTTTCTCTTCTCCTCATAATTTTCATGACTCCCATTGGAGCTTGGGATCAAAAATGTATAAGGATATTAACCTGCTCTAACACATGCCATATTTCATCATCCGTTTTCTCATCAAATGGATCTAAATTGTGTCTTAAGCTACCAACAAATAGTACAGGATCCTGTGGGATTATATTTATTTTTTGACGGAATGTATGCAAGCCAAGATTATTAATATTCACATCGTCGATTTCGATCGTACCATCGGTATGAGCAAGTTGGAATATTGCTTGAATTATTGATGATTTACCGGCACCTGTACGACCAATTATGCCAAGCTTTTCCTACAGTGGTAAAATAAATTGTACATGAAAAGGAATTTTATGCAAATTTTTAAATATAAATAGCTACGGGTATGAGCAAATATTATATCAAAAATATATAACGTACTCTTTCATGAATCGTAAAATTCAAATTTCGTAAAATACAATCTGATGTATCTGAGTACTTGAGTGACAGATTATTGAATTTAATTATGCCTTTTTGTGGCCACGGTTTAACCATCTTTGCGAGTATGTTTTGGTCCGTTTCAAGTTTACGTTCACTTGTTACATTTGCATATTCATCGACTCGCTCGACCGATGTCATTTGATTCTCTAATTCTGCTGTTTGACGTAAACCCCAATTACACATGCCAATAAGATTGATTGCTTGAGTTATGGCAAGCCCAACATTTGCACCCACAAAATCTATTTTGTTGAAAAACATAAAACATAAATATTAGCATATGTAGATAACGAATAATATACAAAGCTTATGAAAGTATTTCATTTTTTGGATTTATAAACTTTCGTATTTTGGTGAAAAATGGGTTTTAAATGTACCTATATAATTTTTGAATTACATACCTGAGCCTAATAGTAAAAAACTGTAAACAACGCAAGTCACGTACAAAAGGCAAATGATATCAAGCCAGAATGCCTACAAAAATAAATAAATGCTATGATGAAAAGTAAACAGTTGGTAAATTATAGTCGCGGTTGGAAATTCCCCTTACAAAGCCTCGTGACGTTGCCACAAAAAGAAACCATGCAGATGAATTAATATTTTGATATTCATAAAACTCATTTCGCGATTGCATTTCCGCATTAAATGCTCGTATTGTACTCAATCCTTCTATTGATGTAGTTGTGTGTGCAAAAAGAGGACTTCGAGCTGTGAATGTGTAATGAAACTATAAACTTTTATTTTATCATAAAATATAAACCTCATGCTCATACTTATTGCTTCAACTCGCTTAATATTTCTGGCAGTAGTGAGAAAAATATATCTCAGACCATAAAATATTATGAACATGAATAACGTTGGTATTAATAGCCAAGGATTTATGATAGCAACAATCGTTACGACCGTTGCCAATTGAAGGAAGAACTAAAATGACAACAGAGATAAAATTTAATCGATTTTAATGCTTTGATTAAATTATTCCGAAATTCGCCAAAAAAAAGCTTAGAAAATTATTAGTTTGAATATACACAAACCTGTATGCAATCTACAATAACGACTGGAAGCATCGAGTCAATAGTTCCAATATCTTTTGAAAATCGATTGATAATGCGGCCTGAAGAATTTTGGTTGTAGAACCACATTGTTGCTCGTGTAACACCGCGAAATAATCTATCATGTAAATTTACAGCAACCCTCAAACACATTCGATAAAAAGCAAATGAACGTGATACAATTAGCAACAATAATGCACCAATAAATATTGAGTACAAATAAATATATTTTTCAGTTGTCCACCATTCACCATCCCAAATGGTTAAATTGTCATCACTTGATGTCATATTTCTGTCGCCATACGTCTCTTCCCATGTTATCCTAAAATAATAAGCAAACGAGAAGAAAATATGTTCGTGATTATATTGTTATACGTAAACGTGACCGTGATTTACCAAATAGAAACAAAATAATCGACTGTGCCTTGTAATGCCTGAGCAATTATGAACAAAAGGGCAACAAAAAATACAAAAATTCCGCTATTTACAGCTTTGATATACGCCATATATATTGCTGATGTAACCTTTCCCTCCTGTTGAGTCTCTTTTGAAACTGTCTCTTTGCCATTTCCTTCTTGATCTTCTTTGGTAACACTTTTTGGGACATCTAAACTTTCCTGTATGAAAAGAAGAATTTTTAAAAGGTTTGATGAAAAATTATAAATCTCGTTCAGCCGAACACGTTTTTTTATCATTTTCTGATTCCATAACTTTTTCTTAGTCAAAATATTTTTTATACGAAAATTGAAAAAGATCCTTTTTATTTACGACAATTAATTTATCATTCTTTCATCATAAAATACTGTAAAACACAAGTTTAATTATATGAAATATCTGCTTCAGTAAGTAGAATGAAATATAATTAAACCGCTAATTAAAAGCTGCTATAGTGATTGATGTTTCTAACAGCTACACGTAATTGAATTTTCTATTAGATGATTATGAGTATCACAAGTCACACAATATTTTTCATAACATACCTCTTCATCAGTTGGACTGTCAACTCGTGCGTTTGAATTAATGAAATTTTCATCATTAGCATAAAGCATAGCATAATCATTCTCCTTGATGTAGTCATATGATCCCTGAGTTTTTATTTGTCCCATGCTCATAACTATAATATGGTCGACTTCATGTAAATATTGAAGTTGGTGTGTAACAAGCACGCAAATTTTATCCTTTTTTTCCCCGTAAAAAGAAAAGAACAAAGAAAAAAAAATCAACTAAATAAGTATCGTGCTAGGCAGTAATTTTTTTTCTTCTTCATGTTTAATTACCACATGTGGGCATTAATAAGTTATGTGGATTAATGCGGTAGCGTTGAAGTAACAAAAAATGAACTTACTTTTAAAAAATCTTTTATGCATTTTTGAAAAATGTGTTTGCTGACATGCGCGTCTACGGCTGAAAGTGGATCGTCTAGTAGATATATATCAGCATTTTTATAAACAGCACGAGCTAAATTTATGCGAGCTTTTTGGCCTCCGCTCAAACTTATACCACGATCACCGACAATTGTCGCGTCATCCTTTGGGAATAATTCCAAATCTCGTTCAAGAGCGCACACATGAAGGACAGTTTTATAACGCTTCTCATCGTATTTTTCCGTAAAAAGAATATTATTTCTTATACTTCCTTCAAATATCCATGCTTTTTGTGATGCATAGCTAATTACACCATTTACATCTAGCTCTCCATCAACCAAAGGAATTTCTTTTAAAATAACTTCAAGTAAAGTTGTTTTGCCTGAACCAACTTGTCCAATGATACACACAACATTCTTTTTATCAATTTCAATGTCACAAGACATAATCCCGATATTATCTTGACCATCACTATTCCAATAAGCTGTTGCATTCCTCATGAAAATTCCATTTTGTAGAGATTGAATCCTTACATTCTTTTTATTCAGATCAATATTTCCTGATTTACTTGGAACTTTTTGTGATAAAAATTCTTCCACACGTCGCAAGGATACCCATCCTTCTGCAACACTAGTTACTGCCATAGGCCAGAACTCAACTAATACATTTCTAACATAATTAAAATACGCTATAGTAACGAAAGCTTTTTCTGACGTAATTGAATTTCCCATTAGTACATATGTTACAAAAGTAGCAAACACAGCAAAACTCGTAAGGAAGACCAATGAGAGAAGGGTAGCTCGTATGTAATATCCTTTTGCAATAGCTCTCAGTTCAAACTTTCGTATATTATTTACAGTCTTAGCAAATGCATTTTCCCATCCATACATTTTGATTACTTGTATTCCGGTTATGATTGAGAACATCGATTTTACACGATTGTCTGTACGCTTAGCAGTATCTAATCGAACATTTGCTGATTTCCTTCCAAGCCATCCTTAATTCAGAAAAAATAAATGTTAATACAATTAAAAATGACAATGACAAATTGCATAATAAATTTTTCCGAAGTTAATCAACCAATGTGTTTCTTAATATACCTTGAAGTGGCATGAAGAGTAGCAAAATTGCCATTCCTAAAAGTCCAGCAAATTCCACTTGCTGGTAAATAAAATAAGCAGCTATACCAGCTGCAATTGGAGGCCTCCAAAAATCATGTGTAAAGCTCATAAGCCAATCAAATCGACTCACATCATTTGACATTAGATTTACTGCTTGTCCAGCAATTCCATCTTTCATCGCATACTTAGTAAAGGTTAAAATCTAATATACGGCAATAATTAAAAAGAGCATAGACATGAATTAACATCTTACATAAATCTTTAATAAGTAAAGTCTTGATTTTTATGTTCCTACCTTACTATAAATGAGGGAGCAACATGCAATGCGTAATTTCATACCTTCCTCAAATAGAAATAACATAAATGGATGGAAAAATAGAAGCGGCAATCCTAGTGTTAGAACAATGCCAGTCGCTATTAAATAAGCATCATTATTACTAAAATTATTTGGATTGGTTGTAAAAAAACCGATTAAAAGCCCCAGAAGTAATGGATTAGCAAGCCTAAAACAACAAATAATTATGCAATTATGTTTCAATTTTGTATTATTTAAAAAATTTACTTGCAGAACGTCTCAAATATTGCGAAAAAAAATCCAACAATAATAACTTTGAGCCAGAAAACTTTTGTGGCAACACGAATAAGACTTGGTTTCGGTTTCAACATTTCTTCCTCCCACAGCATTTCAAAGTGTCTTGTTACTTTATCACTCGTGTGCTTTTGAGAACATTCGGAAATATCATCCTCAATTATCTGACGTTTCAAGCCAATTTTAAATAAATCCTTGAGCCACCTGGGTATCATTGTATGCAGAGCAATGTAAAGAGAAATTGTTATTATCCATTTATTTAGCAGAAATTCCAGTTTATAGGACGCAATAATATTAAACAAATACTGTGATAAAGGTCGTAAAGTAATGTGATAAATTAAATGCTTATTTATCCCACAATTAACTTCAGTAAGCCACATGTAAATAAATTTACTTTTACAAACAAATAATAATAATAATCATTATGAGCCATTGAACTTGTTAGAATTAAAAATGACGTCATTTTATATGAACTTCGATTTATCTTTTTTTTTGTGACTTGATTTGTAAATATACGTGAGAATTTTTATGTAAATAATCAAAAAAATATTCGAAAGCACATGCTTTAACCAAAAGATAAGCCTTTCTTGATAACAATAGTGAAAAGTCTATTAATACTTGAAAAAAAGGAATGTTTAGGTTCTTTCCATTCAAAATTGATTGTTTATTTTCAGATAACTGAACCAATTTCTGGTTTTTTGAGATATCAGGAATCAATATGTCTCAATTAATTTGTTATCTGTAGATCTAACATATGTGCAATATATTAAGTACTAAACCACTTAATTACAATCCGTTTGATAATTTTCATTATGTAATACTAGATATAAAGTAAATCCACTTTCAATATTTTGAAGACAGCAATATTTCGGATCACTTGGAAGTTTCGTGATTTAATTATTCATCCCTAACTTCGTAGAATCAAATCTGAATGAACACAAATATCAAATTATGAAAGAATGGTCAAGAATGTGTATTTTTTATATAGGTCGAAATACGTAAACTCAGACGACCTTGAGAAAATCAGACATGATTGGTTTGATATTTTCATACGTGATTTTTCAAATACTTGATAACAGATGAAATTGTACATGCTTAGCTAAAGATTAAACTTTATAACTTTTTTTAATTAAACTGCACAAAAATGGTTTACATTTAATTCAATAAATTTTAACTGTCTTAACACCTTTTGACTATAATTTAATTTTTTCTTCTAGAACGTATCTTCGTTTTTGATAACATTTTCTATTTGTTTTGTTCGTGGAGATCTGATGCAATTTTTATGTATCTTTCCTCCCAAAAATCTTTATCATAAATTATCACATTTATTTAACAACGTGTACTCTACCAATAAATATATCTGGAAACAATGTTTGCATTATCATATGGACTTTTTAGTCGCTTCGCATCACTGCCACTATTCGTCATAATTTAAACAATATGACTTTTGATGTTACACGATTACTATAGTTAGGTTTTGATATTTTATACTTTTGTCCAAAAAATAAGCAGTCAACCACTTTATTCAAAATCACGATAACAAATGAAATTTCAGAAGCAATCACTCAACTTTATATTTTACCGGCAAAAAGAAAAAAATATTGACTCTTTCAATTAAATGACACACCGATTTGCAAAAGCACCACGGATCTAATATCTTTTAGTGCCGAGCGCAAACTGATGAGAAATTTTGCGAAAACTTCTCTTTTAGCGATCGACCAAGTTTTGAGAGAGAATGATTAAATGTTATTTTCATTGATAAGATAAGATTTAAATGTGAGAATCAGCTGTTTTTCTCTTGTCAGCATTTTTGACAAAAGTGGTAAACATTTAACAATGTGTTTGTTATCATGTCACAAGCACTTAGTACATCTATTCATTAATTTTATTGTTTCATGCTATCCTGTTCATATATCCAATCTAATGAGTGGGAATGCTAAATAGTAAAATGAGACTTAATGGTGGTAACAACAAGTGCCTGCATGTTGATGATTCTGTCCAATAAATCGTTGTTTTGATAAGTAAATATTTAATCATTTATGCACTAATTAATTAAATTGTGATTGACATTTTGGAAGTTCAAAACAGTGATTGATGAATTAATTAATAGAATAAGCCATCAAATTGTTGTTTGTTGATTATCTTACTGTAATAAATTAACCATCATATTAAAATTTTCATTAATATACTCAAATTCATTGAAGAGTATTGAAAAAAAAAAAATAAATCAATTAAATAAATTTATTCTTAAAATAAAAATATATCACAATTATTTCAGACAATTTATTCATCCTTGATGATCTATTAACGAAAAATTCTCATTCATAGATCAGTTAATTAAATTAGTGGTCTATGCTTTTTGGCAAAATAACATTTTTCTGAAGTCTTAATTAAATTCATGGCATTTATGTATCCAGTTTCATCAACAAGAGCCCGAAAGAATCCTCTTGAAATTTGTATCAATTCATACGGATGACCAATCTCAACTATTCGTCCATCTTCAAGTACGATTATATTATCACAATCCATTATTGTGTTAAGACGATGTGCTATAGCTATAATGGTGCAGCCATAAAAGTTTCGTTGAATCACATCTTGAATTTCGTTTTCATCTCTGCATGTTGTTTGATAAATGAGAACGAATGAGAGAATATGGTAGAATGATTAATTATTCAAATATAGCTAAAGTGAAAACTTTGAAGATAAATACTTACATAATTTGTAACTTTTCCGTAGTCTCGTCCAATATTAAAATTTTATTCTTAGCAAGATGAGCACGTGCTAAATAAAGAAGTTGGATTTGCTTTATACTAAAACCATTTTCATCTGCTGGGGTACTCAAAGCAGCCTCCAATTTTGATATTTCAAGCTTCATATTAACACACTCTAATGCGTTCCAGATTTCCTCATCTGTATGTTGCTGGAATGGATCTAAATTACATCGAATCGTTCCTGTGAAAAGGATAGGATTGGATGGAATTATACCAAATGATCGGCGTAAATCATGTAATCCTAGCGTGTCGATATTTATGTCATCAATTTTAATGGATCCTTCATTAATTGCAAATCTCTGTAACGCTTGAATGATAGATGACTTTCCTGAATTTTTCGGACCAACAATGCCAACCTTTTCGCCTCCATTTATTTTAAAATTTAGATCCTTAAGCACATCAAATCCATCCGGTGAATAACGTAGATAAAAATTTGTGAAAACAATTTTTCCAATTTGTGGCCAGGTTTTTGATGGACGGAATTTATTCGGCGTACGCAATGAAGCTTCCATGTTTATATTTTGATATTCAAATATACGCTCAACCGATGTCATTTGATTTCCCACTTCAACTGTTTGACGTATTCCTATGTCGAACATATGTCAATTTTAATTTTAATTAATATCATATTAATTACACGTTGCTGTTTCATTATTCATGTGAAAAAATAATTGATACATACCCCATTGTAAGAAAAAGAGTAGATGTAAAGCTTGTGTTATTGCCATACCAACATCTCCACTCTCAAATACTTAATTGAAAAATAAAGATAAGCATTGAAATGGATATAATAATAATATTTCTTATAAACTTAATTAAAGTAAAAGCAACACAGCTCGTGGCAAATAAATTAATTTTGGGGCAAAAAAATTCCCTATTCAGTTACAAACCTCGATTTTCGAATACCACGAAACTCAATATAACCAATGAGATATAAATTGAGCATATTATATCCAGCCATAAAGCAAACGCTCTTGCGGTGGCAAAACCAAGATATATTGCGGATGTATTATGATCCATATTCTTATGAAATTCATCCATCAAAACCCTTTCGGAATGTGTTGAACGAATCGTTGATAATCCTTGGAATGTAGATGTGATGCGAGAATAGATGGAATTGTATGCTTAAATAAAAGTTAAATGGAAATGTGAACAATATGAAGTGCTTTAAAACAAGAAATATAAAAGATTAAATTGCTGTGCAAGCATTTGTTGAGGGATTCACATTATTTAGAAAAATTTATGTACATGCTCATTCACACTGCAAATTTTCTTCATTTTTCATTTTTCTCATTCTTAAATGTTTCCTCGTTGTTCATTATCTATATTAACATCACTGTCCTTGTGATTTTTTTATGATGAAAACTTCATTTTTCATTGCACAAGATTTATGATTTGTACATTTTAGTTTTGTGATAATATTTAATATTGATAGTTCCTGTGCTAGCTTTTCTAATGTCTTCAAATCAGAATCATAATGTTTGAAAGAGCAAAAAAAGATGGAAAACTTGGAAAATATGTTCGAAATTTTAAATGTGTAATTTAGAGAAATTTCTTCGAATAAGACGAAAATTAGAAAAATTAAAAAGCTAAGCTACATATGCAGCATTAAGTAAATTGTTTTCGAACTATGCTAAATAAAGATATTTGAATCTTTTAAAATTTAATAGTCACAAGACGAATTTGAAGTTGCCTTAGAGATGAATACAAATTTCATTTACATAAGGATATGAAATAAGAATGTGAGATTAAAGTATTTCATCCGAAAAAGGATCATTACATAATGCATTTATAAAGAGTAGTAAAAGTGTTGGATATGTTATGTGAATCAATATATATGTGAATGAGATCAAAATAAACCAAACTCATAGCTTTCGTTTGTTTACACAGCATATAAAGTTTTAAGCTATATATTTTCCTTTATCATCATGTTGAGAAGTTTATGCTGAAGGATTTTAAATTTTCATTTCTTAAAAGAAAAAAAAAATAAATTAATGACACGTACTTAATGATTCGATTCGCCTGAGGCTACGTGCTGTATCAATATAAAAATATCGTAAAGTGAATACTGCAAACAACATAATTAATGTGGGCAACAATAACCAATAATTGGCAAGTGCGATGAGCGTACAGATGCCAATTGTCTCACAAAAGAACTGTAAATACACAAAAATAGAGATAATGCGTAGTAATTGTTAATTAACAAAATGAACAAAAATATCAATTAAAGTTAAGGTACTTTACCAAAATTGAATCGTAGAGATTGATTGGCAACTGTGTATCCATAGTTTCAATATCTGTCGTAAAAAAGCTCAGAATATGTTGAATTGAATTGCACTTGAAGAATCGCAAAGTTGCCCTGGTAACACCACAAAACAGCTTATCATGAATGTTAATGCTAGCGCGAAGGCATAATTTGAAGAATAGAAATGATCGATGAACGGTGAAATAAAGCAATGTGCAAAGTATAATTGAATAGAAATAGATAAAATTGACCCAATTATCGTAATTGGTTGCAAATGTTTCATTCTCTCGTGAACTATTATTTATCGATGATATTCCAGTGAAATTCACACTCAACACATGTCGAAATGGCTTTGATTCTTCGTGATTGAACCTAGGAATAGTTTAATAAAATTTTGATTAGAACTTTGTGTAAAGCATTTGGAAAATTAACTTAATTAGATTGATAATTTAATTTTGATTTAGAATTTATGTTTAAAACTTCCTTACTACACTTAAAGCATAGATATCAAATTAAATTCAATTATTATTCATGACTTTAATCTAGAAAAAAAAAATTCTTATGAACGTTGTTAAAAATACAAAATTTTGTGCATAACAAATTTTTAGCAAGGAAAAGCTTATGAAAGGGGAAATTTTGATTTAATTGGCATGTCTAAAAATAATTCTAGATTTTTCATATATTTTCGATTTTTAGTGTTGTTAGTTAAAAATCGATTTATCATCATTTGTATATATCCCAATCTAAACTACCTCTATTATTGAACTTTAAATTTATCAAGCTTCAATATAGAATTATGTTTGAATAATTTTTCAAGAGTGTCCGCTTTATATTTCCTCGCTTTAGTGAATTTAATGCTTGTGCATGCATACTTTAGATATATACAAACCATTTTGCAATGAATAACTCCAATCCACTAGTATGTAGTTGAGCAAGTAAGAGAAGAATCAAAAACCATGAAAAACCACATTTACTACTGCTCAAGGACTTCATGTAATTTCTATAGCTTTTCCATTCCACATTTTCTCTCGTATGATTTTCCGAGTAGTCAGAAAAAGGAATTTGATGTGCGACAAGTGAATTTTTGTGCGTACTTTCCTTCTCTATAATCGACTATTTGTTAAGAAATAAAGATTATTTTCATTCACATTCTCGGAAAACTTTTATATTTATGTACCTGACTCGATTCTGTTGAGTTGCTACGTTCAAAAATTTTTATTGAGCTTTCTTCCGCATCTTGAACATCACTTTTTGGTATCAGTTGTTCGAATAAATTTGTACTACGAAAATCCCTTAACGATCCAATTAAATGAACTTTATTTTCATTTATTCCTATAATGTTATCAACTTCTTTTAGCAAATGCCATGACTGTGTTGAAATAAGGATTATTTTATCCTGTTGAGAATTTTTTTTCAAATTTTAGTCATTTTAAATGCTTTTAAAATTTACGAGGAAGCTACCTTTAAAAATTTCTTGATGATATCCTTGAATGAAACTTCGTTTATTATGTTCTCAAAACATTTATCAAATAAGTAAATATCAGCATCTCTATAAATGCACCTTGCAATATTTATTTTAAGTATGAACAATTCATTGGCACTAAATTCATCTATAAATGTTTCATCTCCTATAGGCAGCAATTCAATTTCTTTTTCAATTTCAGTTACTTTAAGTACTGCTGAGTAACGGTCAGCATCAAACTTTTCTGTAAAAGTTATATTTTCACGAATACTTCCAGGAAAAATCCACATATCTTTAGAAACGCAACTCATACTTCCATTAATCTCAATTTCACCATAATCTTGTTCCATTTCGCCCAACAAAAGTTTGAGAAAAGATGATGGCGATGAAGATGATGATGAGGCTGAATTTTCGATAATAGCATAACATTTTGCCTCATTAATCTCAATACAATCACATTTCAAAATATCCTTTGAGAAAGTAATATTGTTAATTGTTATGCTCTTAATCTCACTATTCTCGTTAACAACTCGCTTCATTTTTTTATTGATATTGTCTTTCATAAGTGGAGTTTCTGTTATGTTTGAATTTACACAAACTTTTTCTTTAATTTCATTTTCCTGAATAACTTTCTTATTAACACTTGAATCTACAAGAAGATTTTCAATTTTGATAACAGCTTTGTACGCTTCTCGTGCATGCGTTGTTAAAAGTGGCCAAAATTGTAGCATTGATGTGAACAACATGTTATAATATAAGATTATTACATAAACTTTGCTAGTAGTTAAGTATCCATTCATATTAAGTACAATCACGATACATACAAAAATCGATAATTTTAGTACAAAGTTTAAGGAAATTGAAGTTGCTCGAAGGTATAAAGAACCACGCACCATGTCAATCTCTTTATTTCTTTTGTCTTTGATCATCATGGCATAAAGCTGTTCCATACAAAATGTTTTAATATTTTCAATTTGTTTAATAATCTCGCTCATAAGATGAACACGCTTCTCTGTGTGATGTGCTGCCCGTGAGCGAAAAATGGAAGTTTTTCTTACAGTGTAAACTTAGTTTTTGTGGTACAAAATAGGAAAAAAGAAAATAATGATATAGTCTTTTTTAAAATTCATGAACAAATTCTAAACTTACATAATAATGGCACAAATGCAAGCATCACAATCATTCCAAAAATTCCAGCAACACCAACTTCCTTGTAAATATAAAATCCTATTAAAACAGCCTCAAGAGGTGCTCTATAAAGTTCGTGACATGTTGCAATCGCGTAGTCAAGCTTATTTATCTCTCGCGACATTAAATTTATCACTTTAACGTCAAGTCGTTCATCTACGTGAGACTTTTGGCACTTCAACACCTGTTAAAAATTTTGGGGAAAAATTAATGGATTATTTTCATTGATAATTGAATGAAAGAATGTAGATTTATTAAAAAAAATACTTTTATGAATTATAGTATAATAGATCTTGCTTTCGATTGCTTTATTTTATTTTACTTGGTTATGATAAACGCTTTTCAGTAAGTTCAAAATCAAGCAGTAGCTGTGCTCAAAAGAATTGAAAAAGGCTGGTGTCAAAATAAGACTCAAAGAAATGTAACTTGAACTACAATAATTCCAAATTCGAAATAAAGAAAGATTATTCTTTGTAGTGAGCTGAAGTGGCTCGGTGGCGGAATGGTTTAGTACTTCGGTGCCTAATTATTGCAATACCGACACAGCGATCATGGGTTCGAGACTGGGTATGGGAAATTTTTTCACTTGTTCTTTTTCGAATCATATGTACTGGAAATGAGGCTCACAGCCTTCCTTTGTAGGCTACAGACAGAAATGTCATCAAAGGAGTGGTTCGGATCCCACTATAAATTGTAGGTCTAGGTTTGAGTGCAGTGGTTTGGCGCATCCTCACTCGTTAAACTCTCATTAGCTGCGAATCGCCCTAGCGCACCTCTGGATCACAATTGATCTGAATAGGTAAAGGTTTTTTTTTTTTTTTTTTTTTTTTTTTTTTTTTTTTTTTTTTTTATTCTTTGTAGTCCTAACTTAAATGAAAACAACTTTGCTTTTTACGTTGATCTACAAATCAAAAGTCTTGTGAAATTTTGACACAATTCATAAACTCACTCAACAAAAAGTATGAATGACCAATCACACTTTTTGAAGTTAATGTGTTCAATTTACTATATTCTCGATTTATTGAGAGAAAAGTCATTTAAATAAATTGATTCCTGTTTATAGATGATAAGCATGAAAAATTATCATGCATTAAAAGTGTATAAATCTTTGAAAATAATTTGGAAATTTTGATTTATATATTATTCATTTTTTCATAATATAGCATAATACTTTAAAGATTCAATTACAAACACAAAGTTACAGTTCTGATACGTAAAAAGCGGTATAAAGCACGAATATATGTCAAAATCCTTAAACTTTTCTTACGTATTGCTTTGTGTTGTCATTTCTTAATTTAATATCGTGTCACTTTATGTTACTCAATGAATTATGTAGAAAACATAACATTTTGCTGTATGACATTTGAAATTTGTACCCTTATTTTTTTCGCCTTTTTATTCACCGGGTAACAGTCAAATATAAGCTCATAAAATCCACCCTTACAATCATTTTGGAACCAATATTTGAAATCATTTTTAAACTTTAACAAAATTATATTTCTTCAATTAAATCGAAGATAAAAACTATAATTTTACCGTAACTCTTTTAAACATAATTTAAGAAAGTCAAGTTGATCGTTATCGATTAACCGTAAAAACAAATTTGATGGTTTCATGACATCGATTCCAATAAAATTTCGTATTTCCTCAATAAAATTTATTAATGTATGAGATGATATTGAACATTACCTTTTGATATAATAAAGAGCAACATGCTATTCGAATGCGTTGTCCAATGTTCAGTACATACAAAAAGAATGGATGAAAGACTAAAACTGGTAGGAAGGAACATAAAATTATACCAGCTGCAAAACACAATGCATAGTCCTTATTTAAATTTGTTTGATTTGGTATAAAGTAAGCAATAAATGAGCCCAAAAATTGGGGTTGTGCTATTCTGAAAAAAAAAATTAAAGCAGTTATTGATTTTCAAATTTTCTTTTTTACTGTGTTTTGTATGTTGCATAGATTTAGGAAATTACTGTTTACTATCCACAGTCACATCAATATTAAATCCTATAAATAAAATTTTCTATATATGCATATCCATTTGATTCATCTTCATGAAGCTGTTGTCATGTGAGGGATATTCAAAAAGCAGCTTCTGAAATCGGATATGTACATATTAAAAAATTCAGATAGAGTCTTTTTCATTTTCTTTTGATAGAGCACTTGTTTTGATACCATCATCGATTTAGGAATTGAACACGAAAAAAACATTTTGGTTATGCTTACGCAGAATCAATTTTAATGCTATTTCGATATATGTCACTTGGGGATATAAAGGGATGTTTGTGAGTTTGTTCAATGCAATAGGAACCAAAACAAAAAAAAGTGGTAATCTCATAATAACAAGAGCATTGAGTTTCGAAGGATTTAAAAAAATATTATTGATCGAAAACTTCTTTTTTCTTCAAGTATAGCATGATACAAATAATGTCACTTGTCATGAGTTTTTAATTTTGGTATCAGGCATGAAAGGAGGAAAAATCTATTTTGAAAATATCTCGCAGAAAAATTTACCATTACTTTAATCGTAAATCATTAAAAGAAAAGACAACAGAAACAAAAGATACAAATGTTGATCTATAATGCCAAAAATCGAAGGCTCGTCTATTGTCCACGTTGTCGTCATCATGAGATTTTTTAAATATCTTTATGAATCAGATGTTCTCTGTTTTTACGTATAGAATTTTTTACATTTCTATTAGTCATTTGTTGTTGCAACTCAGCTGTGCTCTCGTCTTACATCGAAATACTACGTATGCGAGAGAAATGAGAGGAAGGAGAACAAAAAAACATAGAGAGAACTTTTCGTGGACTTTATTATTGCCGGCAATCGAATACAACAAAAACAGAATTTTTAATTTATAAAGAATACAAATTCACGGGACTGCGCACGATTGTTTTCTGTTTAATATTCTTTACACAAACCTAATTTGTATGAATGAAAACAAAGAAGAATAAGTTGTATACGCGCATTATTTGTAATCGTCGTCATAATTATAACTATTTAATGTTAAATTAATTGATCATTGTAATTATTGATATTTATTATCTTACAAATGTAGTCTTGTTTGGAAATCATTTACGTAGTAACTATTTAAATAGTTTTAGCGTACGCCATATAACTGTTTTAAAATGTACGAGAAGATTTGAGAGGATTAAACGAACACGTGCGTTAAAAAAAAAAATTTTCGAGAAAAAAAAATACGCAAAATTTTTATTTATTTTAAAAAATTCCAAGCCTTTTAAACTAATTTTCACGATATTTTGCCAAATGTATAATGTATTTTAAAAATGTATGCATTCAAAATGACGGGAAAGCGGAAAAGTAGAAGGAGGAAGAATAAATAAATTGCTCAGTGTACACAACTCTATTGTTTATTTAAAATGTATAAGAGCAGTTACGACGATAAACATCAATTGAAAGTGAATTGTTTGGACAATCAACCATTTGAAGTGCACAATAATAATTAATAGGAATCTTACTTCATACTGATTTATGGGTAAATTAGATTAATGATGTGGTCGTCATTATCCCAAATGACAGATGGAAAGTCTAAGAGAAATTATTGAATGAGTTTTAAAACTTTAGAACAGAAAGCGATAAGAAACCTCAGTTTTCACAGATTATATTGGAAAATACACATCACTTGACAGTTTGACCCAGCCATGTGCCTCATTCATTTTAATGAAGGTTAAATTGAGAATATTAAAAAGCACTCAAAACAGCACTTCGTTTTATCAGCGAGTAAATATGAATGATTATGCACTGTGACAGACAATAAACAGTAACATTATTTTTATTGAAATACACACCTACAAATTGTATCCACGATGGAGAATAAAATCCCTCCGATAATCACTTTTGAACCATAAATTTTTCTAATGACTCTCCACAAACTATTTTGACCATTGCGTAACTCATTATTCCATAAAATATAAAACTTTTTTGATACATTTCCACATGCATCGCAGCGCCGAACACGATATATGTCATTTACGGTGAGCTGATTGTTGTGACCAAATTGGAAAAGGTCAATGAGCCAAAAAAACGTGATTTTTGATATGAAGCTGGCCTCCTCTTCCGGATGTCTTTGTGTATAATACATTTTTATTCAAATTTAGCGGATGCTTTGTGATGAACGAAATGAATTAAATTTCTATTTTTAGCATCTACAAAATATTGAGTATTATTTGAAAAGAAAAAATCTTGATTCACATTCTGTTACGCTGGCGCTTATGATTGTTTATTGCTCAACGACCGATACTTAAAATCCTAATTGTTATAGAGCTATTATGATGTACTTCGAATTGTGATATTTAATTTATACATAAATTGTTATAAATTAATTGACAATAATTTTTTATATAGCTCATAAAACAGCGAGAATAAAAATGATTCGCAATGCAATCCTCTCACGATGATTAAAATTATTATCACAGTTCTTTATCTTATTTTATTTTATTATTTTGTCTCATCTAAACTTGTGTTTTTTATAATATGCATTTCATTCCACTTTAATGTCCCGTACGTTTTTGTTTTATTTACTTTCTTCTTCTTTTCCACGACATTTTTCTTATCAACCATAAGTACCGAAAGTATTATTTTACAAACATAAACAGAAGCACATGCGATCTTGAACTTGAAAAGATACTCTAAATTATAAAAATATAAAATTTGATTTTATTAAACGCGTCTGAACGATTGAACGTATGATTTGAGACTGAATTCAGTTTTAAATTTTAAAACAATATTATTTTGCCCGAAATGAGTTCCTCTGAGATCGTTGAATATGAGTGTAGTAGTCATGTATTTGTTGCTTTTTATTCTTACTTTACGTACGTATGATCATTTACTTACTATTGTTTACTCCAGATGTTGATATGAAAATTGAGAGAAAACTAAACATCACGATGAGAACAAAATTCACATTTCTTAATTAATTGCATTGGTGTGAATTATTATATCGGGTCTTGAAAAACATCAATAGAATCGTCCATGAAAAAAAATACGATTAAAAGAATGTATAAAAATCTCTCTCATCAGTTTATTTACTGATCAATGATCTTGGCAATTTTAAGAGTTTCATGAATAAACGCACGAGTTCTATATTATTTCATCAATGGATCAGGATGATGCAATGATTTTTAAATTGAATGGAATTTTAAATATGCTTGATGAAAGAAATATATGCAGAATAAACAAAAATCAATTTGAAAGGATACAAAAAAAATATCGGTCAATGATTGCAGTTCCTAGTGAATTTTCAACAAATTTATTTAAATGTTTCTTCTTTTTTGTACCCTTTTAGAGCACGTTGGCGTGAAAATCGAACAATTTTCAACACACCAAATCCAAGATTGATGAACGTGTCATTATTACGCGATAATAAGTTGCTACATGGAGGAGAGCGTCGGGGATCACGAATATCTGTCAGAATGCCATCAAGGCAACCGAGCATGGCTTCGTTACGTCCACACTCTCCAAATGCTTCGATAGGTAAGCAAGGTATAAAAGAGCATTTTAATATCACTCACTCCTGCATCACATGATTGTTCTTTATAATAATCTTAGATGTTTATTTATTTTTAATTGATTAATTATTTTTTTGAGGTTGTTCACTTACAAAACAATCGATTTAATTAATCTTGTTTCCTTCTAGTTGTTTTGCATATTCTATTTATTTAATCCCATTTTCAGGAACAAAGTTGCTTAATTTATTATTGATTAAAATTAAATTTTGTAATTATTTGAACTTAAAATAGTAATTTCCAAAATCTTTTTTTTTTTGTAAGTACGAAGATTAAAAAGCACTCTTTAAATTTTTTGGGATTCTCCTTTTGCATTTGTGAGATGCCATTTGGCAGGAGTCCCAAATGATACACACAAATATTCTTTTATCATTTCCATTTTCATTTTTTGCTTGCAAACGCAAACGGCAAAATCTTCTTTTTCCTCTTTTCCCTTGAAAGATTAAAACACGATTTTTGTTTCTGTTTCCGGACTATTTTCTATGCATCCTTTCTCTTCTCTATTCTAAATATTCTTTGCATCCACTGTGTTTTTGTTGCTGAAATAATTTTTGATCCCTTTTGTTAATGTAAAAGTTTTGCTTTACACTACTTGCATCAAAATTCTTTTATTTTCTGAAAGATGATAACTATCAAAAGAAAACAATACATCACTGCAGTTGAATCAAGCGAACAAAGATGCTTATTGCAATTTTTTTATGTTTATGTAACTGAAAGCTGGATTAAAATTGTTGAAAATATATTGTTTGTATTTTATTCACAGAAAGAAATCAAAAATGATTTTTAACAAGTGTGACGACGATGAGAAAAATTTTCTTTTAGAAAAAATCACTACATCTGCGTGACACGAGAATTACATTGATAATTGATGAGCTAAAGTTATTTTCAAAGTTAAATAATTCTATAAATACAGTTTTATTTCGTTTTGTTTTAATTGAACTAGTCTTCAAAATCAGACAGATAAGGAATTCTTTATTTATAGAATATAAAGTGAAAATAATAATATTTTTTTTTTTTTATAAAAATAAGTTCTTGATCTTTTAACGAGGTAGTTTCTTTTTAATTTACGCTGTTATTATCACATTTTTTTAATGTTCAAGTCTGACATAAAACTTTCATTAAAATATGCAAAAAATAATAGAGCAAAGGTTTCTCAACTAAAAGATGATTATGTTATGGTTTTCTTTGAAAGCTTAATTCTTTGAAAGTTTAATCTACTCTTTAAATCTGAAAATAATTATGACAAGTTAGTTCGCAATACTCAAAAGCTTTTCAAAACTTCAAATTAAACAAGTGCAAATATGAAACCATTTATTCAGGATAGGAAAGAAAAGACTTCGTTAACATTTATCAAAGTGCGAATAGTATTGCGTGCAAACATTTCCTGCCATTAAATGTTAAAAAGGAATTTCTGTATTTTACTTACTGACCATTTTCAACCAGCTTTCTATTAACATTGCTATTTTTTGTGTATATATTTATTTTGTGTATTGCAATTTACGCTTTTTTTTGTTTATGACCTTTGAATTGCTAGCAATGATTTTCATTTTTGTAAATATTTGGAAAACAATCAAATATTTGTATATTTCTATTTTATAGTTTTGCTCTATCCAGGTCACAATTAAGGAATAAATCAAAAAGCTTTTATTTTTGTGAAATTTTTTTTTCAATATTTTTATTAAATCCATCAAAATTGAAACTTTTTTCAACTGCAATGCTTAAAGTTTTCCTTATTTATTGTTTTTAGAAAAGTTTTACTTTTTCATGGAACGAAATTAAGTGGAAGCTTTTTGAGAAATGTTTTGAAACAAAACTTATGTTATATAGAAACTCTACAGTTGCCTTCTATTTTTTCAAACTTCCTTCTTTGTTGATGTAAAATTGTTCTTCTATTGCTAAAAGTATGACTTACAAAATCGATTCTAGTATTAAAGATAGATAAAGTAAAGAAGCATTTCAAGTACTCAAAAAACGTTTGACAAACATGCCTTGATGACTTGTATTTTCATTTTTCTTCTCTTCCATTCTCAAATTTCTCTCGTGAACAATGCATTGATTGTATGTATGACTATAAATCATCTTTATCACTGAGATCTTGATTTTATGTACTTTAATTTAATTGTCCTCAATTCTTCTACTTCTAATGAAATTTAAACCAAATTCAAAATTTTCTTCTTTAATTTTTTGACGTTTTGCTCAAATATTTGGGGAAAAATTTAGGAAGAGCTTTTAGAAAACCAGGTAGGAATAAAGCAAAATCACAGCATTGTTCAATATTAAGCAGAATGGAAAGTGGAACAACTCAACAATATTCGAGCTATGAAGCGAGATTTGTAAAGTCACAACAAAATTGAGTTATTAATGTTCGTGTTAATTGTAATGTCAAAATCATAAAAAGAAAATCTCAAAAAGCTTTCATGACCAATTAAGTTTCAATTTGTTTTGATTTATGTAAATAATGTAAATTCCTTACGAAAAAAAAAATAATTCCTGCTCTATGATTTTTTTAAATTATTGTGAAAATTTTTTAAACATTCAAATTCGTGTATATAAATGTCTAAAATATTTTTTTTGGTGAATTTGTGTTATTTTCACATTTTTGATTCACCTCCCTAATTCTGTTTTGTTTATTTTTTAAACCTTATTAAATTTAAATCAATTGAATTTGCCTATTTGTCGATTTTTACATGTTGTTTTTTGAATTATGATTATCTACTATTTTTCCAGATGATCACAAAAACACAATGGTGTAAATTTTATGTTCTATAAAATATACAAAATAATCAGAAAAGCAAGTAGAATGAACCAAAAAAAAAATGAAAGAAATTTTTGCTTAGAAAATAGTCGATATCCAACGAGAAAATATTGAAGACCAAAAGCAAAGAAACAAAATTATGAATACTAATAAAAATTACAGAATAAAACATGCAAATGGCCCAACTGTTCCTTTATGTATTATAATATATTTAAAATGACACACGCAAAAATCCTTTAAAATTAATCACACGATACAAGCGAACGAAAAGAAAAAAAAAAGAAAATTGTGAAATGTTTGCCGTCAACGATCATGAAAAAAAGTCATGAAAATGGGAAAAAGCAGGCAAAATGACATGTGCTCCCACAAAATAGCTCACACACTTCACATTATATCACATAATACATAAAGTTTTACATTTAATCCATAGTCACGTAGATAAAATAGTGTTCCTTTTATAATAATAATTGCAAATAAAAAAGTTTGATCAGTGAGGGCAATTTTTACTTTCAAAATTCTATCAAAACTTATTTACTTGGCCTTTTTTCATTAGATTATAGTAGAATGCATAAATAAGATCAAACATTTATTAAAAAATAATTAAAAATTCAAATAGAAACATTTTTAAAATTTTAATATACCTAGAATATAAATTTTTATTAGATTTGAAAGAGTAATAATTGCACCTAGTGGCATTTTATTGAAAGAAAATTTTATGAATAGAGTCAATGATAGAGAAAGATATATTTTAGGACATATATCATCACACATCTCACTCCCATTCCTTTTGATTTTTCTTTATTTTTTTTCTCGTAACATGTTTTATTTATAATTTGAAACACTAAAAATGAGCACATATTATATTTAATTACTCATTTTTCTACCCTAAACACAAAATATTATGAAAAAAAAAATCTTCATTTCTCAGCTATATGGTTCCACAAATAGCAAGTTGTGCTTTTTATACTTTTAATGATTTTATAAAATCTGGTAGTAAATTTTATGTTTGTTTTGTTTTTAACCGATACAATGATAAACATCCTTCATTTACATCCTTTGTTATATCCCTTTAGTATTTTATCCTTTTTTACTATAAGAAAACTATTATTAAAAATAAGAGAAAGGTAAAAATTATGTCAAAAACATTTTTTCAGTACAATCATGCTTAAGGGTGAGCAACATGGGTTTTTAGAGGAAGTATTTCTCTATTAACATTTTTCATTTTTAAAAATTAGGAACTATCAAATTTGTATTTTTATTAAGCCTAGAATTGAAAATAAAATCTGAAATATTTTTTAAATCAGTAGAATCAGCTTTAAATGCCTTAAAGCTTGCAACAATTTTCAAAAGCATGGCATTTCTTGAAACGCTATTAAAGTTTTTATTCTACAGCCATGCTTAATTTTAATTTTTGATATGCTCGACCCAAAAGTTGCTCGCATCCATCATGCTTACCATGATACGACAATATTTAAGTTTTATATAAACAATCCTTTATTATGGATCATTTCTAATCGACATAAAATCCTTTTGATTAAGAATAAATCCTAAAATCCTTGAGATATTCCTTTAGATATTGTTTACCTTTCAATTTTCCTTACTAAAATCCCTGCTATTATTTTGCAACACATAATGAATATTTTGAATATATTAAACTACTATCTATCAACATGAGAAAGATGTCTTTTGTTTTGTTTGTGTATTCTATGTTTTACATTTTTATATTCACCGTATACAACATAAGACAAAACGCTGGTTTATTGTTTTATGTTTCATTACATCGTCCAATTTCCTTAAAAAAAATCTCTAATTCCAACCTTCTTCATACAAACTACTTACATTTTATGTCCTTTACACTTTAAATATAAAGTAAAAGCAAAAAAAATTTGAGAAAATTATTTTGACAGAGAACTGTAAATTTGTGAATTTTCCATGAGTAGTGATGACTACCAACTTAATAACAGAAACACTTCTTTAACCTTAAAGTAATCTCAATCATTTACATTATCATTTGATATTCGAAAAAAAAAAAAACGTTTACCATTAGCTAGTTATGTTCAGACATGAGTTTTATGTTGAATGTTAGTAGAAATGTTAGTGATGTCGAGTATCAACCTTTTTTGTTTAGTTTAGCAAGGTATCGTTATTTGTTATATTTTTTTTTACTCCCTATTCCGACTGTAATTGAGAGTAAACGTATTGACTATTAATATAGTGTAATAGAAATCAGCAAAACACACACATACATTTTGACATTTATTTCATAAATATATGAAAACAATTTATAAATCACAACAGAAATAACAATAACAAAACCATCCTATGCCCTCCCATTCTTTCTCTCTATATACCTGAATAAATATATTTATGTCTGTGTCTGTGTGTGTGTATCTCTCTTTCCCAAAAAAATAAATAAATTATGTTAAATTAATATGATGTGTGAACACGATATGATTTCCTTATATGATAAAATTTTATTGAAAAAAAAAATCACAAACAAATCAAAATCAAAAGACTACTTTCCTCAAACTAATATCGAAATTGAAAGATACTTACACTTCACTGACACACACAAAGGCTCTCGTCGAGGATCGCGGAACAGTAGCAGTGCCTCAGCAACATCCATGCGTTCAACTCGCAGCAGTTTTGCCATTCATCACGATCGTGGACATCGTGCGTCCTGTATCAGTGATCATCATGCAAATGGACATGTTGTTGTCTCGAATCCAAGTCAATTGATGGCTGTTAATCAGCAGCAGCATTTACAACACCAACAACAAGCTCAAAGGCGTCGTTCTTCTATACATCAATCAGTTATTCAACATGCACAAATAGCGCCACAACAACAACCGCCAGTACAAATTCAACCAGCACAAGAAGAAGAAGAGCAACAACAAAATGTTATTCAAGATGTCAAAGTTGAAATAACGGAAGTAAAACCATGAAACTTTACTTACGAACAGAGAATATAATGCCTTTGAGACTCGATAAACCAATTTACACACATTTTGGCCTCAAAACGTTAAATGCTATTAAGAGCCTTTCTTTAATAATATGAAAAAAAAAATATTTCTAATTCCCACAAGTTCTTTCTATATCTTTAAGCTTTCTATCAAAATACTTAAAAAACTATGAAAAAAAATAAATAAAAATCATAACGAAATTGCCTATTAATCCTAAACTTATATTTTTCTCAACATGCTTTAAAACTACATTTGAAGGATTGCATAATTTTCAGGGGTATTAAATTCATGCAGTCCTTCAAAAAAGCATGTAAAAAATACCTTAACTGCATCATACGTGAAGCGAAAGAGAATAGCATATTAAAAAGAAATCTCTAGTAGATTGATTGATTGATATTTCATGCAACTTATTAGGGACCATATACAATACATAAAATAATTGAAAAAAGAGTTGAAAGTTATTTGAAAAAAATCGCACACACTTACTGATTAATTACAAAAAAAAAACATTTCATTTCTTTAAATTTATAATGAAAATACAATTTGAATATATTTTAATTTTATTCTATTTTCTGGGAGAAAGATGATGTTTTTAAGAATTAAAAAATACTTATAAAATATCGAGAAATAAATCGGATTAAATATATGAGATACATTAATATTATTAAGATAAATAAAGAAAACTTAAAAATGATTTTTTTTTCACAAAGAAAAGGGAATAGGAAATGAGATGAAAGTTAAACATGTTGCTCTTAGAAAAGATTGAATGAAGAACAACAAAAAGGATCATGAGAGACATATTTATCAGTCTCACATTTTTTCCTTTGTTTTAGAGTTTGCATTGAAATGGTTCAGTGAGAAAATTTGATTTACTACCCCATATTACATTTCTTTCCGCATTTCTTTTGACCTTTCGACAAAACCCTAAATATAATTCTTTTTTTATCCCTCAAATATCATGATATATATCCTTTTTTTGCTCTATTCCGTAAGTGTGGAAAGGACAAACTCACGCATTCAATAACAACGAAAAAGGATAATTTTTTCCATAAATTGAATAAAAAAAAAACTTTTCTTAATCAATAACAGAAAAAAACATAATGGTGATATTTTTCGATGCTATGCAAAAGTAAAATTAAGGAGCTTTGTAATTATTCTTGTCAGAAATTTTTATTCCGAAGATAATGAGTTAAGGATTTTTGACAGAATAAATACAAAAATTGCACTTAAAATTCTTAAATAATACTAATTATAATGAAGTAAAATTAATCAAAAAAGCTCCTTCCCTTGAACTTATAAGTGATATTTTATGATACTTGATGATGAATGCCTCGTATGGCTATATTCTTTTCTTTAAATATTTAAATGCTAAAACCCTTTATAGCGCATGCAGTATGCAAAAATAATAACTCACACAAATAGGAGAAATTTATTTTCTACTTAAAAAAAATTAACGAATATCTTCAAGTTTCCTTTTAATGGTTTCTCACGTTAGTAGAAAAAATGGAGCTTTAAGAGAACCAAGAAATTTTCTCTAGTGAGAAACGAAACTACGTCTCGTCTAGTAACTTCCTAATTCGTGATTAGAGAATGTCTAGCTAAAATGTATTTTAATGCATTCGGATTTTAAATCGGCTATGAATTTATTTTCTCAAATTTCTTTCATGGAATCACCACGCTGACCATTTTTTAACTACCTGCATTTAAACGATAATAATAATGAGAAAATTAAGTAAAATTAAAATAAAAATAAATATTGCAACACTTGCCACAAAAAAAAGTCTTTAAAAAGTAATTTATTAAATGAATTATATGTAACGTCTAATGATGATTATGATGATGGAAAAAAGGTAAGAAGAAGGAAATTAAAAAGTTAGTGCAAAATCGTAGAGTGATAATAGTAGAATTAACATAATTTTCAGATACATTTTATCCAAATTAAACAAACTTGTCATCAACAGCAAATGAGGGTTGAAAGAGACTATAAAGATAAGATTTACGTGCTCTCTAAAAAATTAGAGTTGCTTGTACTACAACCCTCAAAAGCATTGAAAATTTTCATTCTTTAATTATTAATTAAATTCTGAAATAAGATAAGGAATGAGAAAGTAATTTTTTTGTAATTTTTACTTACTTACAACTTTAAAGAAATGCTTTTTCAATTATTGCGCAGCATTAAAATGATAAGATGAAAGATAAGAAAATTAAGCTTTTACGATTCTTAAGTACGAGGAAATTAAACAATTGTCGTTAAAATTGCATAAGAGTTATTCAAAATTTTTAATATAAAAAAATATAATCAACATCAATAAAAAAGAACAGACGAAAAGATTTGAAGGGTTAAAAATTTGAATAATTTTTATGTAACCACGATTGAAGAGTTAAATTTTTCTTTTTGAAACGTCATTTAGTCTTTAAGAAAATTTATCATTAAAGAAATAACTTAATTATCTAAAAAGCTTTAATTCCATCGCCAATTCGCATAGAAATTCAATTTTTGTGTGCTTCAAATCAAACGAGATAAATGAAATGCATGAATAATTTTCATTACTAATAGATTTTATTGGAAAATTTTGTTGAAATTATGACTTAATTTATGAAAACGGTTATTCGCATTTGAAAATAGGGGAAGATTTTCTCATGCGAATATCTCTAAAAATTGATTTAAAAGAGCTTTAAATTTACCAACTTTATATTATATTTCATCAAGTTTTATTGGTTTTAATTAACAACTCACACTAATTTCGTCTCCCAACTTAATTTCTTTGTATAGTTATCAATCACATTCGTAAAGTGAAAAATCCATAAGACGTTCAAATTTTTAATTTATTTATTATGAGGGCAAAATAAGCAGAATAAATCTATTTCTTAATCGCTTTTGGTTGTGTGCTCAAGCATGAGTAAATAAATATTTTCTTTCGCTCGATTCAAAAAAATGTTAAGACAAAAATTTAAATTAATTAAATTAATATTATATATGAATTAATTAAGTAAAAGCTACTACTGTGAATAAAGTGAAATTAATTAACTAATGGCATCTTATCATCTTTAAAAAAAATTAATGAAGAAGCTTTACGCTGAATAAATGCATTAAGAAAAGTACGAATATATCGAGTCAAGATGGATCTGTCATTTTTAAAAAACAAAGAAAACTATATATTTCACACTAAGTACGTCTTAAATCTTACTATTGATTTCATTTTCTTAACAGGTTGCAAAATTGAAAATAATTATTTTGAATCATTTGAATATTATGGATATGATATTCTCAATAATAGCAAATCGTAATATCAAATTGAATCAAAGAAAAATGTATAATGACATCTGGAAAATTTTCGAAATTTGGGGAAGAATTTTGGGAATTTTCATTAAAGCATTTGCAATAATCTGTTGAGAAAATTGAAATTTTTCCATTTTCCATTCTTGTACAAGATTTCAAATTATCTGGTAAACGACAAGACATTTGATATTGAAATTATATCACACTCGAAATGAATAATATTTTAAGAAACAAAAAAAAATCTAAACTTAATTAAATTTTAAAAAATTATCTACTTACACAATTAGAGCGCAATTTGCAACAAAAAAAAACAAAAGAAATCTATTTTTTCTTAAAGCGTATAAAATTTCTATTTGTACTTCAATAAGGCCATTAAAAATTATATTTAGGAAGGTAAAAATTGTAAAAGCTACTCTGACTAACATCCAGAGAGTATAATTAAGTATGTTCATTGTAATGTACACTTTAAGGAAAATTAATAAATTTATTTTTTCCTTTTTTCTTAAAATAACAGTAGAGAGAAAAATTAATGAACATGAACTATCACTTAACATAATAACTACAAGTGAATTACAAAAAATACTTAATATGGACAAAAAGAAAAACATGAAAACTTTTAATAAATTACATACTGAAAAAAGCATTTTCAGGTATTTTGATTGTTTTTTCTTCGTAAATTTTTTCAGATAAAAAAAAAAATATTGACTTAATAGTTTTAGATAAAAAACTAGTGTATCGGGTAGAAACCCAATGCGGATATATTCACACCGTACCATCAAAAGTCTTATGGATAGACCAAGATTTGCTCAGCATAAATTTGAAGGGTGGGTATGAAGTATGGCCGAGCCCCATATCGACACAGTTCAAAAGTTATACCTAATTTATGTTATAATTATGTCAGCTACAAAAACACTTAGTTTGAATTTCGTCACCCTTGGGAACACTATGAATCAGTATACCTTACACTTATTTGAACCACATTTTCTCGTTAATGTTAAAATATTATTAAAAAGTAATTAATCCTGAATTATGTCGCTGTTTTGTCAAGTGTTTTAAGATAAAGAATTTGTTTTTTGGTTTCCACAGTGAAGAGTATGAACAAAAATCAGATGGGGTAGTCGAAATTTTAGATTTCGGTTTTTTTTTTAAGCTATGCATTACAAAAAGTAATATTGGTATGTGATTTATGTCAGAAATATGTCAATTCAAATAAAACATACAAAAAATTTTTTGACCAGAGTACACCATAGAAAATCAATTTTCAATTTTGGAGTAGGGGCGACCCTAGTCAAAATCAATTTTGTCACTTTTTTCTTCGAGGGTTTATTCAAATGGATTGAAACTTTGCATAAATATTCTAATGCTCAAAACAAATACAAATAAAATATCCTAAAATTTTTTTGAGCAAAGAACCAAGTAGGAAATACATTTTCAATTTTGGACTAGGGGCGACCCAAATCAAAATCAAATTTGTCACTTTTTTCTTCGAGGGTTTATTCAAATGGATTGAAACTTTGCATAAATATTCTAATGCTCAAAACAAATACAAATAAAATATCCTAAAATTTTTTTGAGCAAAGAACCAAGTAGGAAATACATTTTCAATTTTGGACTAGGGGCGACCCAAGTCAAAATCAAATTTGTCACTTTTTTCTTCGACGGTTTATCCAAATGGATTGAAACTTTGCATAAATATTTTAGTGCTTAAAACAAATACAAATAAAACATTTTAAAATTTTTTTGAGCAAAGAACCAAGGAGAAATACATTTTCAATTTTGGACTAGGGGCGACCCTAGCCAAAATCAATTTTGTTACTTTTTTCTTCTAGCGTTTATCCAAATGGATTGAAACTTTGCATAAATATTCAAATGCTTAAAACAAATGCAAATAAAACATCCTAAAATTTTTTTGAGCAAAAAACCAAGTAGGAAATACATTTTCAATTTTGGACTAGGGGCGACCCAAGTCAAAATCAAATTTGTCACTTTTTTCTTCGAAGGTTTATCCAAATGGATTGAAACTTTGCATAAATATTTTAGTGCTTAAAACAAATACAAATAAAACATTTTAAAATTTTTTTGAGCAAAGAACCAAGGAGAAATACATTTTCAATTTTGGACTAGGGGCGACCCAAGTCAAAATCAAATTTGTCACTTTTTTCTTCGAAGGTTTATCCAAATGGATTGAAACTTTGCATAAATATTCTAGTGCTTAAAACAAATACAAATAAAACATCTTAAAATTTAAAGCACTAGAATATTTATGAAAAGTTTCAATCCATTTGTATAAACCCTCCAAGAAAAAAGTGACAAAATTGGTTTTGACTAGGGTCGCCCCTAGTCCAAAATTGAAAATGTATTTTCTACTTGGTTCTTTGCTCAAAAAAATTTTTTTCATCCAAAGTTTAATTTAAATAAAATCACAGTGAACTTTTAATTTGAAAAATTCGTAAGAAAGGAAAGTTTTTTGCTTTTTCTGAAGCAACGGCTGTTCCTCCCTTGCCTAAAAACAATACAGCTCTTCTATAGAGCAGCACGGATCAAATGTAAAAAACTAGAAGTCTCTACAATGTCTCGTTATTGAGATTTCTTGCTGATTAACTTGCTTGCTTGCTTGCTTGCTTGTTTGCTTACAGAAAGCGTATTTTGCGATTTTCTCAGCAATGCCATAACCAATTTGAAATCTGTTTTTTGAAAATGATGTAAAATTTCAGGCACAAACTTTTCTTTTGTGACCTTTTATAACCAATTTTGCTTTGTTTTCTAACAAAATTCAAAAAACTGATTTTTCAATCTGAACAAAACCAATAGATTCACACGTGAAAACGGTGTGAATATAATAAACTTTTTTGAAACGTTAAAGTTTAAATCTACATACATAAATTTGAATTTGTTCTTGATAATGATGATGATATTCTGTGAGCTTATCTGGTGAAAAATGCTGAAGTTTTAGATTTTTTTTTATTTTGATTTTTTCTTCTTTTTCAGATCTAATATTTTTTTTCCAGATGTGACGTAATTTGAAACTTTTTTCATCGTATTTAAAAGATCAATCAAAACAAAATAAAACTTTTAATTATAATCTTTTTGTAAATAATTTTACCATCATTCAAAACATAATTTTATTAATTAATAACATAAATTTCTATTTTTTTCCAATTTATATTATTGAGTTTCCAGGAGTGATTTTAAAAAATGCTGAAAACGTGATAAAATTCTTCAAAGGAAGCAGAAAAATACGCAAATCTTTTTTTAATCTGTATCTGCTGCTGTTTTATCGATTTATGACGCAATTTAAAAGTAATTTTCGTCCAAAAATCCTTGAGTATGGTGCAATCAAATCACGATTAGTGTTCATCATTATCTTTTTTGCTAAATTTGAATAAAAGTTTTCTTTAAAAATTTAAATTGAGGTTTTAAAAGGTGCATGCAAAGATCTTTATTTTCTCATTTAGGACAATTACTTTAATAGACTAAACAGCAGAAACAATTTTAAAATATTTTTTATTGTTGAGAGATTTGCGCAACGATGTTACTCCAGAAAGTTTTGTAATCCTTAAGTACTGTTCCTCTGTAATTAAAATATAAAGTAAGTTACTAAGACACAAAAATCGAGAAATGATAAATTTAATTGCTGCGTATACATTTAATGCAACCAGAAACTTCATGTGTAATAAAATTTAATTAGTGCGAACTTTAAAATAAATGAAGAAATATTGAATATTATTATATATTAGCCTGGTTTCTAGTCATCACACTTAATATGTGAATGGGAGCAACAGCATAAAGCAAATTGTAGTTGCAAAAATATAAATATTTCATAGTAAAGAGATCGAGAGAAGTTCAGAGAAAGAGAAGAAAAAAGATATATCGATAAATTATGTAATTTATGTGCCCAATTTTATGGCCATTGAAACGTCAATACTTCAGTTTGTATATTTCAATATTGCATGTTTTATATGCGATGTTAGGTCAACAGCACTTTGTTGGTTTGCAAAATTTATGTTTGAAATATAGCGCCGACAACTAATGTTAATCTATAACATTTACTAAAACGTATTTCGTGTGATTAATGTAAACAGACGCTTCGTCAGAAGGTAAGCAAAATTGCATAATCATACACATTAAAATTGTTTTTGCAAAATTGACGTCTGGACCTAGATTATTGAACTCACGCGAGTGAGTTGAGCCGGTAATTGCCGTCATTTTTTTTTTTCTTTCTTTCACATCACATACTTTTTTTGCAACACGTGAGCTAGGGAAATAAGAAATAGTAGATACTTACGTAAAGAAAACTTGTCCCTGTTTATGATCCGGTGCTTTCCAAACAACAACTGCTTGTGTTTTGTCCCTGTTATCTGCATGCGTGACTGAAGCACACTCGGGAATTGCTTTTGTATTAGGACTTTCAACAAATTCACCAATCCATTCTTGTGTAGTTGGATCACGTGCTTGGAAAAAGAATCCTCTGAAGAGATCATTTCCTGAAATTGTCACTAGAAATAACCGAGATATGATGATACATGTTGGAATGAAGACAAATTACTGATTTAATGCTTACATGAAATTGTTTGTCCCGGTTCATAATAAGCTGAACTTGCAACTATTTGATATGGAATTGTTTCCAATGGTTGAGATCTGCTTTGTCCATGGTTTGGTTGATTAAATCTGTCTTTGACACCTATGAATTGTTAAAATGATTTGTTTGGTGACTGACTAATTAATGATTTATAATTTCACATAACAAGCTGAATAATTTATTTTACTAGACTGCAATGTCTTTACGCTATGATTCAATACCTCCTGTTACATAACAAAATTGTAATCAACATTTCATGTTTTTAATTATTCATGTGATAAATGACACACTACTAGCAGGGGATCTTCGATTTCAATATTAAACTATGTTTATTTTTAAACTTATTAAGAGGTCGCTCATGATAATTATCTTACAGGTGTCTGGTGGTGCTCCATCGGGAAAGGCATTACACAGAATAATCAACAAAGTACAAACTAATCCAGTTTTAAAAACCATTTTATGCTGTTTAATGTAAAATAAAATAAAACTTTTTAAAATTATAGACGAAGGAATAATGGTGTAAAGCTTTTAAAATTAACTGAGCGTAAATCTGTAGCATGATGCTGCTTAAATAAAAATTTCTCCTTCCATCCAAACTTTTTCTTCTTTTTGAGCTCATGAGAGTACTTTTTCATGCTCAAGTGGTGGTGGCATAAATGTGTACACCTTTCTGTTAATCATTCAGCAGTAGAATTGTGATTCATAAAATCATAAGTATGCAAAATTACATTCTCTAGCAATTTTCAAATTTGATATTAAACCTTTTCTGTAATTTTTACGTCATGGATTTATGATAATTGTATTTACTACCTGAAATCATTGTCAAGTGCATTCAAAATTACAACTGCATCTATTTAATGTGTTGGTAATATACACAGTAAAGTGAATGCATGTAGACAGGAAAGAGACAAGTAGAAAACACTGATAATACATGAAAAGAAGAAATTCTGTCGACATGATTATCAGTGAAGTTCAATGTATAAGTCAATATATTATTTCCATATGTAAGTCAGTTGTCGTGTTGTACTTTTAGAGGAAAGACATAAATTTATTTCATTTTTGATATTCGTTTTAAAAAAATTAAAGACATAAAAATGGTGATTAATTTTGCTGCAGGTCCAGCGAAGCTACCGGAAGAAGTAATAACTTGAAGCTCATGAATTTTTTAATTTTTAATTATAAGAAGTTCTAATTTTATAACATCTACAGGTTTTGAAGGAAGTGCAACAAGAGTTAACAGACTACAACAACACTGGTATGTCTATAATGGAAATGTCTCATCGAGGGTCAGTTTATTTAAAAATTAATGAAGATGCCATGAAATCATGTCGAGAACTTCTGTAAGTCAATGAACAAAATATAATTTTATGTTTCTATGAGATGAGATGAGATAAGAGAACGAATGAATGATTTTGAATTAGAATTATTCAAAACCTTGAATTTATTATTGATGCATTTCGTTCTATAGAAAAGTTCCGGAAAACTATAAAATTCTATTGATGCAAGGTGGAGGATCTGGACAGTTTGCTGCTGTATGTATGAATTTAATGGGTAAAACTGGAAGCGCAGATTATGCAGTTACTGGAACGTGGTCATGGAAAGCCTACAAAGAGGCTCAAAAATATGGCAATGCAAATCTTGTTTTCCCAAAACCTGAAAATTTTACAACTATTCCACCACAAAATGAATGGAAGTTGAATCCAAATGCTTCTTATTTATATTATTGTGACAATGAAACTGTTGATGGCGTGGAATTTAATTTTGTTCCTGAAACAAATGGCATTCCACTCGTATGTGATATGTCATCAAATTTTATGTCACGATCGATCGATGTTTCAAAATTTGGATTAATTTTTGCTGGTGCACAGAAAAATGTTGGACCTGCTGGTGTGACAGTTATAATTGTTCGAGAAGATATGATTGGAAATGCTATGAAAATAACACCATCAGTTTTTGATTATATGGATGTTGCAAAAAACAATTCTGTTAGCAACACGCCACCAACATTTATGTAAGTATACTATCTATAGCACTGAAATCCAGTCGAATAGAAATGTTTGTTGCCCTTTCAGTATTTACATCATGAGTCGTGTTTTCGAATGGCTGAAACGAAATGATGGGGTCGAAGGGATGAGCAAACTAGCACAAAAGAAATCTCAACTGATTTATGGAACAATAAACAAGTCGAATGGATTTTATACTTGTCCTGTTGATGAGCAATATCGCAGTCGCATGAATCTACCATTTAGAATTAGTGGTGGTGATGAAGCATTGGAAAAAGAGTTTTTGCAAAAGGCAGAAAAAGCTGGAATGGTCCAGCTCAAGGGTCATCGAAGTGTAGGAGGAATTCGAGCATCTCTTTACAACGCAATCTCATTTGAGAATACTGAAACTCTCAACAAATTTATGAATGAGTTTTATGAAGGCAAAAAATTGTCATAAAATTATTAATTCATCTCAATAAATTATGCCTTTATTCCATTATGTTTTGGGAGCGAAAAATATCATCTAATTTATCTTCTAATTTCTTATTTGTTCCTCTGCAATTGTCGATAACTTTCTTAGCCCAGATAAAGTATTCACTTGCTCTCTCTTTGGTCCAGCCCTCAGGAATAGCTCTTTGAAGGTCTCGCAAATTGTACAACTTATCAGCCAACTTGACTAATTTCGCATTTGGACTTGCTGTTTTCGCATGCTCAATTTGAAGTTTTTTGCGCTCCATTTTCGGAAGGTTCTTGTCATCTGTCACTTCTTGTACAATACTTTTAATATCTTTTCCAAAATGTTCTTCAATTTCCTCAAATGAACAGTCTGTGTCCTCAACCGTATCATGAAGAATGGCTGCCATCAAAACATTCAAGTCTATTACATCACCTTCGTTTGCGAGAATATTTGCGACACCAATCGGATGATTAATATACGGAGTCTTTTCCTTATCCTTGCGACGTTGGGTGCTGTGCTTTATAGCAGCAAAATTTAAACATTTTGTATACTTTTTGACAGCTTCCGAATCCATTTCCCTATTTTTTTTTTTTAATATTAAAAACAGATTAAAACCTTTATACCTAGAACATTAGAGTTCAATGGGAAGTACAATACTAACTATCAACAAAACAAAATTCTCTTTTTAAAAAATCTCTGAGCTTGTAAGTTTCTCAATTTTTTACTTGATAAACCTGATTTATAAGCCGGCGATTGTGTGGCATAAATGAAAAAAAAAAGAACTCGAGAGCGTCAGTCTCTTTTTGTCAATTCATCACATTAGTTCTTTAAGAAAGAATTAAAATAATTTTACTGTTTCTGTGATTATTGTGTAAGTTTTTTTTTTGCTTATCATTATTAAGTTGAAATGTTTGAAATTTGTAAAAAAAATATATTAAAACTTGAAGTTATGATAATTGGGTAAATTTTTAAAAAAATAAAAATGACATCAGAAAGTAATAAAAATTTTGCACTCAACTACCAATTACTTTTTTACCACATTCGTATGTATTATTAATATGTGGAATTAAAAGAATCAGCGAGACCAACAAAATAAATAAATACTAATTTACTAACACAGAGTTAAGATATCTGATAAAATCGTAACTGCCGATAAAATTATAAGTTTTTTCCATCGATTCTAGTGCCATCTTTTGAGAAATACTTTTAAAATTATATTGTGCAAAATACTGTACAAAACAGGCATTAGTTTCCAGATCTCTGAATCAGCCAGACTATAAAATTTCATTATTTATTTAAATACAATTAATTAGTGATATTCTAAAGAATTCCATCTACCAAAAAAGTAATTAATCGTTTATTGGCATTACTAATCAATATAAACCAAAATTATCAAGGTATTTATCATGTTTTTTAAAAACGTTTTCCCATGTAATAGCTTAATTTATAAAACTTTACAAGAATAATGAATTAAATTTATTGATAACTAGTGATAACATTTATCGGCTATAAGAAAGAAATCAGTTGTAATAATTTCCTGTATTTAATATCTGTGCTATTGTAGAAAACATAAAATAAAATTTTCTGGATACAAACTCAAGGTTACGAAAAGGTCATTTGTGCTTACTATGGAAAATTTTCTGGAAAACTTCAAATAATTTAATCGTTTTATTGACTTGATAACACAATAACGTAGTTAATAATCTAGTCTCACTTGATTATTTAATTAATGTCACACTTAAAAATTCATTTCGTAACTATCGTGAAATCGGGATAATTAGTCAGACAGCACATTTGACGCTTACGTCAGGTTTATTACAATTTATTTAATAGATCGGCAGATGCGTATTTAATTCTAATGTTTGAGTTTGCAAAAATTCATAGACGTCACATTTGATTTAATTTGTTCCTGTGTGCAACTATTATATTTTATTTGTAAACAAACCGGCTTGCTGATAACGCGGAAATGAAAATGAAAATCGAAAGATTTACAGAATCAGGACGATTGATAAGCGTGCATTGAAACGTACTTAAAATGTAAGAAGCACGAAGAACTATAGGAAACTCTAAAATGACTAAGTGATGACGAAACTAAAAAAATCGATGACGTAAGATTTAGGCAATGAATGAAAAATGTACAGTTTGAAGACGATAATTTAGCAAAAGTTGTGAGAATGTGTTGAGAATAATTGAAGCTTTATACAAAAAAGTTTATCCAGCGTGTTAAACTGATTTTATTCTTTATATATAGCAAGTAATTGTTGGCTCAAAAATTGTTTGAGTTCGTCACATGCTTAATTTAATTCTCGTTTATCTCTTTATAAAAAAAAATGGGTTTCGTCAAGCGATCAAATCTGATTCGTACGCTGTATGCTTATCAGCAATTTCACTTTTGATATATGAAAGTTGAATGATCTAAAATTAAGCAAAAAGGTTTGCAAGGAAATTTCTGATACACGCTTAATATGAGTGATAAGACATTGTTTCTAGATATCACGTGGTTCAATAATGCTCAGTCATATCAATTAAGTTTACTTCTTTTTATCACTCAATTTGTTTACTTATGCGGCGAACATTTATGAAATTAGTCATTTTTCGGTCTGTGATTGCGCACAATCCACCATCGATGCACTTTTCATGGTATTTAGGATGTCGTCATGACCTACCGTAACATATTCCCATTGCATATTGATGAATATTTTTTAAACTTCAATTGTAGTGCACATTGTTATTTATCCACACTACTATACTATCAATTTTTCTTAGTTACGTGAACTTGCATCCTAGATGCACATCCTTTATCCATAAATATTAATCCAAAACTGCCTTATCACATTTTGAAATGTTCTCTGTTATCAATAATAGTGTACGACGAGATTTAAGATTGAAACTGAATGAAAATAATTTTATCTTCATCGTTGCTTCTAACTCAAAATTACGTCACATTACACCACTCGATTATTTTTCTCACATTTTTCACCACATTTTCACAAACCTTTCTCAAGTCTCGTCAGTATATATTGCTCAGTCAAAAGGAGCACACACAAAAAATTCAAATTGTTGGATCAATAGGAATTTTTTCGAGTCGCTCAATTCATATCGAAATTATCATAAGTGCATCAAGACAAATAACAGTTGCATAAGTGAAAATTATAGTTCTCGACGCTTTATATCGCTAGAAAATTTCAAGAAAATGGTCTGGATTACTGATTTAGATGACCCAAAGGTAGCTTAATTTATTTTTAGTGTATCCATTAATGATATCATTAATTGGTCCCGTTTGTGTGTCTCATTTGACCTTGTGAAGAAAGATTAACAGTCTCCTTCTAGAAAAGTCATTGAACGAAATGAAAATCAATTTCTATGCTATATGCTGTAAAAATTGATTTTCTTCTTTCCTGTTTGCAACCTTGAACAAGGACACATTACGACAAAATATTCAATTATGTGGTTTGTCTAATGGATTTTTACAGGAGTCCATTTTATAATGTCTGAAAGGAAAATTGCATAACAAGATTTGTGAAAATTTTTTCGGAAAATATCAATGACCTTTTTGACTTTGTTTTATTCGATAGGATGAGGAAAAGTTGTTATGACTGTTTCGAATATGAAAGTTCTAAGAAGTAGAAGAAAATTTTTATTTTTTCAAAAAAAAAGCTTTTCATTTTCTATTTTTGACGGCTCGTGCACACACAACCACTGACATTTTTCTCATTTTCTTCTCAGATGTTTTTCTATTTATTGTCGTAGTTTTTCACATACACTTGCCAATCTGTTTTTGTTTTTCACAGCTTTTCACATTAGATAAATTTATGAGCATTAATTCTCACAAAAATCATCGCATTAAACTTGTCTACTTCTTCATTTATTGCTAATTAGTTGCGCAATTTAACAATAAAAAGTTCCTAAGATACGCTCATGTTTGTGGAAAATCGATAAAACTTATTTGCAATCGAGCGTCTAAGAACTTTCAAAAACATTTAAAGTTTCCTAGGCAATGATTGACATTTATCATTGTTGTGCTGTTCAATTTGCATTAATATGTTGGTGACTTTGAAATAAGTCATAAAGTTGAATCACAATATTTAAGTCTCAACGGTAAATGAGTTTTTGAATTTTAACGAACTTTCAATATTTGAAAAAATTTGAACTGAAATGAAATGAACTCAAACAGTTACTGAACTGTAAAATACAAGCTGTGGGCATTTAATTCTATCGTCTTGCTTGATTCATAACCAAAAGTTGTGAATAATATTTTAATCAAGGTTTTATTATCTAATTTGTAAGTTTAAAGACCGAAAATACTTTTATTATTATTAATAAGATTACAACTTACTTAGCACTAAGAGAAGTTTTAAAATAATTGAATTGACCAGATTTTGATTAAAAACTTAATATAATAAGCATTTAATTATATTTGTATAGTGTAAACTACCAAGTTCAATCGTTTCTGATAACGCATTTAATGCGTGCGACTATTATTTTAAGAAGTTCCCAAAAAATAATGACCACAAACCGCATGTTGACATAAATTAACTTCCGATTCTTTTCTTTATTTCTAGATGAGTGAGAAGCTTCCACAAATGAAGGCCGCAGAAGCAATTTCAGCATTGGACCATCTCTGCCAATTGGATCCAAATGCAAAGACAGCATTCATTCGTCTTACTGGGTTGATTTGTACAATTGGACCAGCTTCAAGATCACCCGAAATGTTGGAGAAAATGATGCATTGTGGCATGAATATTGCCCGTATGAATTTCTCACACGGAACCCATGAATATCATGCTGGAACAATTGCAAACGTACGTACAGCAGTCGATAACTATTCAAAGAAATTGGGCTACAAGTATGCTCTTGCTATTGCATTAGACACCAAAGGACCTGAAATTCGTACGGGTCTTAATGCTGATAAAGGTGATATTTCATTAAATCGTGGTGATAAGATTAAAGTCACTACCAACAAGGATTGGTTTGAAAAGGGTAACAAGGATCAAATCTATGCTGATTATCCAAATATGGTTAAGGTTTTAAACACTGGCGATCGCATTTTCATTGATGATGGTCTCATTTCCCTCGTCGTTGATTCAATCAGCGGTGATACATTGAATTGTAGCATTGAAAATGGTGGAAAATTGGGACAACAAAAGGGTGTCAATTTGCCAAATGCTCCTGTCGATTTGCCAGCTGTAAGCGAAAAAGACAAATCTGATTTGTTATTTGGTGTTGAGCAAGGCGTTGATATGATTTTCGCCTCATTCATTCGTGATGGACATGCATTGGAAGAAATTCGTGCAATTTTGGGAGAAGCAGGAAAGAATATTAAGATCATTTCAAAGATTGAGAATCAACAGGGAATTGTTAATATTGATGAGATTATTGAAAAATCAGACGGTATTATGGTTGCTCGTGGTGATTTAGGTATTGAAATTCCACCAGAAAAAGTCTTTTTGGCACAAAAGCAAATCACTGCTCGTTGTAATCGTGCTGGAAAGCCATGCATTTGTGCTACTCAGATGCTTGAATCCATGACAAACAAGCCACGTGCAACACGTGCTGAAATTTCTGATGTTGCAAACGCTGTCTTGGACGGAGCTGATTGCACAATGTTGTCAGGTGAAACTGCAAAGGGTGAATATCCATTAGAATGTATTACAACAATGGCAAAGACTCAAATGGAAGCTGAAGCTGCAATCTGGCACAAGAATTTGTTCCGTGATTTAGTTTCATTACAAGCAACTCCAATTGATGCTACACATTCGATTGCTATCTCTGCTGTCGAGGCTGCATCAAAGACTCTTGCATCAGCCGTAATTTGTCTTACTACATCAGGGCGTTCTGCACATTTGATCTCTAAATATCGTCCTCGTTGTCCAATCATTACTGTCACACGCTTCGAACAAACTGCTCGTCAATGTCATCTTTTCCGTGGTATTTTGCCATTGATCTTCTCAGGTACAGTACACCTTAATTATTGATGTTAAAGTAATTTACTAATTGTCCTCAATTTCAGATGCCGTTCTCGATGACTGGATGAAAGATGTTGACGCACGTGTCCAATTCGGTATTAAGTTCGGAAAATCTCGTGGATTCATCAAGAGCGGTGATCCAATTGTCATTGTTACTGGCTGGAAATCAGGATCTGGATTTACAAACACAGTTCGCGTTGTGTACGTTGATGATATTTTAGGCGGATATAATTATTGAATGTATTTTAACTAACGAAATCTTTGTTGCTATTTTTTAGGAACTGTGAATAAGCGCTCGTCGTATTAACACAAAGTTATGCATCAAATACATAAAGTTTTAAATAATTATAGTCTCCTGAAATTTTTCGTTCCTTTTTTCTGTGAAAAAGCATCTGAGAAGCATGAATAATAGACAATAGCTTTATTTATCCATTCAAATTTTTTTCATCACCATGACACAAAAATGGAATGAAGAAGGATGAAATCTATCAAGTGTCACTAATTATTCACCATCATCAACATTCTAATTCGTACTATGATTTTAATTAAAGTGAAGTCCTACTTGAGATGAGCAGAATAAAAATTATTGATCTATAGATGTATTTGTGGACATAAATATGTAATATGTTCAGCGTTAATAAAAAGTTATGGATATCAAATATTTATTGGCTGAAAATTAAAATTTATCTTTTTCTCTTGAACTTTTTTGCTTCATCTTGCTTTATTCCAGGGATACAAAATGTTGTTCCAAACTTATGGTGTTCTCAACGAAATCATTGGATCTAATTTCCATTTTGTGTAATTCGTATTTTAAAAGCTTCAATTCAATACATAAAACTTGTGATTATTTTGAATAATTAAAATTTTCAATTCTGTGCTGTAATTTAGTCATCGTGCAATAACTGAATGCTAAATTTGGAGATGAAACGTGATCGTCTTAAGACTTGATGTTTATTTTAAAGGAAGAATGAGTTTTATAAACCAAACAAAGGATCAAAGCAAGGACTTTAAATGAAGCACCGGATGCAACAAGTCTGCAATCTACAGTCACTAACAGTTTAATCAGAAAAAATACAAAACTTGAATGTCAAGCAAGGCTCCCGCAGATTATAAGCTTTAAATAATCAAATACAAAGATTAAAATCTTCGTTTTTAAGAGATTATAATCTGCGGGAGCCTTGATATCAAGTGTGAAGCTGTAAATTGAGAAATAAAAGAGTTGTCCATCAGTTCCATCAGCAATTAATCAAACATTGACGTCATTCGTGAAAAACTCTTAATTGGACACTGATCAAACAAAAAAGCGACTAATTAATAATTTTTATCTCTCTCTTTTATTGAATGCGAACATTTATTTTATTCAGACATTATACAATATGAATCCTAAGTACATCAACATTTAAAGTGGTGATTTATATTACTAATAATGTTAAGTATCCTACTCAAAAGTTTTTAAACTTAAATAAAAAGTTTTAAACAAAATTTTCAAAGACGACAGAACTTGTGCGTGGGATCCACCAATTTTTTTGTGAATTCAAATCCAACGAGCTCAGAACTGAAAAAATGAAAACTTCATAGCAAATTCTTTAGGTAAACATGAGCTTTTGTGTGTAGGAAGGTCCAAAGAATTTTAGAAATTAATGACGCTGCTGCTCAGCAAAATAAAAACTCTTTTTGGGGTGATTTTCGGAGATAAGTTTTACATCTGTTCAATAATAATTTTGACTCTCTCTAGTTAGCTGCTAATTTTCTACATATCCAATTAATTAGTTTAACATGTTGCTCAATCATTTTTCTTTATTGCTCCCAGTATCTGCTTCTCCTTTTACCCATGTTGCATATCTTGAAATGACAAAGTTGCATATCTGTATGAGGAACAAGAAGTTGATCATTATAAGTAAATTAAGTGCAGAGTTGCTAGCTGCAGCAAATCTACTATAAAGTTTGCCTTACTACTAGCTAGATGATTGATCATGAACACTTACAATAATTATGATTATTGGGACTATTTCTCTTATTGACTTGATCTTTTATTTCCGATCGACGTCTATACATTTCCAATGGCAACTTCTTTTTCCTAAATTTATTCAATTCATTTTTAAATATGTCCATGTCATGTGAGTAGTCTTCCTCCCTTATCTCATTGTGTTGTTGTTGCCACTCGAGATTCAAGTCTGCTTTATTTGATCGCTGAAATTATTCAAAAATAAACATTTTCTTTTAATTATTGAATGATCGCAGACTGTACGTGATTTTTGGGGGCTTGGCTTTCGAGAGAAAAATATGAATCTTAGACGAAATCCGATCTTTTTTTAATGAGTTCAAGATTTTCAAAAATGAGGTTCATGGATTTATTATAAATTGCGTCTGAATAAACTTTAAAGACGTGATTGAATGCAATTTCTTGTTTCAAGATTTTTTCAACTCTCATATGTCATTTTAGCATGATGAAATTCTATTTAACATTGTCTTTATGATTCTTAAATTTGGAATCTTTTTCTTCTTTTGGAAATTTTTATTAATAAACTGTAATTAAATTAATGGAAGTCACAGGAAAAACATTCCTCCTATTGATATTTCTAAAACAAAAGTATTGAATTGGCAATGAGAAAAGGCATGGGTGTATGACGTATAGAAAGTATGTACATATAATGCGTGAGCACTGAATAATTTTCATTGAACTTCAATAAATGAATTTCAGATGAAATGATTCTTCTCTATGTTGTCTCAAATTATGCTTTATTCCTGCATCGAAATGAAATGCGTTGTTATAGCAGTTTAAAGCATAAGATGTATTATTTCGAACAAAAAATTGAGATTATTGATAAATCCATTTATTTCAATAGTGTTGTTAACATACTCTGGATATCTGATCATATATATTTTTGGAAATTATATCTCAAACAGACAATGTTGTATCCTTGTACCGCCGATGGGTATGGGACCATATTATTTGAAAAACTTAAAATAAGCATATTGATCAGAGGTTAAAGTCAAGCAAGACACGATTCAGAAAAATTTGAAAATGTTTGAATGAAATATGAAAATTTAAGATCAAAATCAACTTTCTTAGTTTATAAATTGTTAAAATTATTCTGCCTGTTGAATTCATTTGTTCTCTACTTTATAATGATCTATAAATAACATTATTTTAGTCCTAAAGGGTTACTTTTTAAATCATTTGAGCAATATAATGTTATCAAAACATTATTAAATCTTTTCGAATGATGTTTCATTCATTGTACAATAAAAAATGGACGTTTGTAAAATTTTATAAAAAATATGTTTTCCTTTTATTAATATTTTCAAATTGAACCTTCCGAAAAATTAAGCTACAATCCTACATATATGTAATATGTTTGATTTTTTCTTAAAACTTATCGTAGGTTTTGAACTTTAAATCAGTGATTGGAACTTTGTGCAACAAAGCATGCAAAATTATTCACGATATCAAATCAATTTTGGAGGTGCTTATCTGATTTGAGGCAATCTATTAAAAAATTGTAACATCGTTGATTAACCTAAGCAAAAGAACTGAACGAGTAAGTAAAGGAAATGCCAAATTCTTCGATGATTATTTTAAAAGAATTTTCTTTGAATGCTGCATGATGTTACCATGATAAATAAAAATATTATAATTTATGGCATTAAATTCTGAGGAATATGTCTAGCAGCCTAATTTAGCGAAAATCGAATGTTTGTTAAATTAAAATTTGCAATTTAAAAAATGAAAAAAAATTTAAATGCCACAAAAACGTGACACACTACATCCGCTACAGATCAAAGATACTGACATGATAAATGTGACAAATTTACATGTCAATAGATAACTGAGCTTTAAGACGAACTGTATTTACACATGTAGAAATATTATAATTTAAAATGAGCAATTTCTCACCATTTCCCTTTTAATCATTTCACTAAGCAGAAATTCATCAAAATTCCTAGGCAAACTGTACACAGTCAGAACACTCACTACGCCCAAAACAATTTTAAACATTAAAAATTTCATTTTCCACTAATTTATTCCACAAAACTACTTAAACTGAATTTTTACTAATTGCCAATATCAACTGCCAATGCAGAAAACACAAGTCCTTTTAAATGAAATAATATTCTTAAGTCTCTGTGATACTACATGCTGCTCGCTCTTCTCAAATGCTTCTGTCTTATTAGAATGTCGAAGAAGGAATGATGATTGATACTCAAGTATCCGATGTGAATGAGTTTGTTTCATGTTTTCCTAATATATTTATTTTCTTCGCAAACTGCCTCGCGGGTTGAAACACGCGTTTTTTTCTTTCTTTTTTTTGTTATTAAAAAATCGAGAATAACATTTGTTATGGAAAAGGCAACTTTTTGCCTCTTTTAAAACTTATTTCCATAGATGATGGGATTGTGTGGAAGTAGTGGTTTCCTGTTCAATTACCAATCTATTTCGATCACAAAAAGTTTCAATTGGTTTCAGCCAACCTACACTGTTAAATATTCATTAGATTCTTCCTTCCTAAATTTCAATATTTTTTTTTTATATTTTCGATGTACATAAAAAGGCAATTGATTTACATCACTTGTTGATTGATATTTTAAAATTCAACAAAAGAAAAATAAGAAATGCAAATGAATTCAAGATGTAAGTCGGAGTATGAGAGGAGAAAAAAAATGCTATTTTTATTTTTGAATGGCTTCTTTTCATCTCATAAGATCTCTATGTCTAATGAATGGAGAAAAAAAATGCAATAAATGAAGCCCGAGGACTTTTTTCTTTTGCTAAATACTCCTTTTTGTAATTAACAGCTCGTTTTCCTTCACGTTGTACATGTAATTATGTTTGTGTTTATATTTATGTGTAACTTTCTTATTAAAACATTAATATTATCTTGTAACCAAGTATTGTTTTCTGTGACGTCAATAATTGTTTAAGCTCTAAAAACATTATCAGTGTAAAAAGTCATGAAATATTTTTGCTTCAATGTAAATCTTCAATATTCATGATGAGTTTGATATTAGATTGAATTTTAATTCATTATCAATTGAATATTTTTTATCATATCATATAAAATAATCAAAATATAATTAAACTGGTTTAAAAGTTTTTATCATTAGATTAATATAAATCAATTTTAAAATCTGCTTCTTTAAAATTATAAAATAAAAATTAAGCTCTCTATTCTCTCGAAATGTAGACAACATTTTGATTTAAGAAAGCTTTCAAGCTTCTAATTAAATCCTCAGAAAAACAAACAAAGTAATGATTTCGATCAATAAATAACATATCCTAATGAACGAAAACTTCAAAAATTTTGACATTGAAATCTTTAATCTTTTTTAAGGAAAATTCACTCTTTCTGGGAGTTGGTCTCTTTTCTGGTTTTTTGCGTAACTTAATTTGTGCTTAAAATTGCTTAGACAAAATTTTGATATTTTTTAGCATTTTGTTTTAAAAGATACGAAAATTCTTCATGAAAATAGATCATAGACATCCCTTATGTCAACTAGTTTTATTCTTAAAACTCTAGCAGTTAAAATTTATAATGATTTTTTTTTTTGTTTCTCGAAACTAGTATTTGAGTTTTTAAATAATAATATTAATTAACAGGATTAGGAAAAAAACAGAACTCATTAAATGTCACTTTAATAACTTTTCCAAGTAAACTGAAATTTTCATCAAGTTAAATTAACAAAAAATGGAAATTCCAGTTTATTTTCTCAATGAAATATAGTCGAATAATAATGAATTGAACTAATTAGATGAATTTACAAAAATATTTTGATTTGATTTAATTATGATTAAGTTTTATTTATTTGCTAAAGGCAGTTCTAAAGATTTCACCATTAATTGACGTAATTTTCTTTACTGCAAAATTTGGCAATAGATTTGCAATCTGGTTATGAAATAATTAATGGCTGTGGACATGAAATTTTAAAACAAAAGAGAAATCAAAAATCACTTGGTTAAGAATTTGATGCCTCTAGAATTTCTTTTAAACTCTTTTGCCACACTTGAAGGAATTTAAACGATATTTGCTATTTAATGTCATCATAGATTCTACAAAACTTTTAAAGATATTTGTTTGTTTTAAAAACACTTGCAAGTCTGAGATTTCAGGGAAATTTGCACAAAAATAAGCATTAAAATGCAATTGTATTACGACCATGCTATTTGCTCAGTGTGACAATTTACTACTAGAATAAGATCAGTTTGCTATATAAAGCTAGAATTTCATTCGAATAGATTATCAGTATTGATTAAAGTGCATTACCTGAAACATTATTAATTATAAATATTTCAAAATGTAAGTTGAACTTTATAAGAAAATAAATAATTTATACCTTATTTTATTAATAGAATTTATTTTTTTTTTTTCTCATTCAGGAACCAACCAATCACCTTTGGTTTCTTCTTCTTAGCTTTTGTCGCATTTGCAAACGCTTTTTACGGTGACTTGACTTACTATACAGAATGGAATTCGAATTACGGATCATGTGGATTGGAACGATCAAAAACAGATCGATTTTATGTCGCTGCATTATCAAGAGCAAGAATGGCACTTCCAGCATCAATTACAAATCCAAATAAACATCCATTATGTGCTTGGAACCGTTGTATTAAAGTAACTGGAAAGCGAGGATCTGTGGTTTTAAAAATCAGTGATACTTGCTGGGCTTGTGGGTATAATGATGTTGATGTTGCTGATACTGTATTTCCATTTTTGGATGATCCTGTTAAAGGCCGTGTTAAGATCAATTGGGAATTTACAGATTGTAGTAGAATTGGAAAACTTTGAGAAGCTTTGGTAGAATCTGGAAAATCCAATAGGAAATTCCCTAAAATATTTATTAAATTAAATTTTAGAACTTGCTTCATTCCGATTAAATAATATAAATTAAATACAAAAAAATCAACATTATAAATAATTTAAATTATAAAATCAAGAAATCTATACGAATACCTAGAAATGAAATGAATAAAAACATATTAATTTTGACATTAAAAATAATAATAATGTGAGGTTTCAAAACTTTATATTCGTTGACTAAAATTACAAATTCTATTAAAGTTTGATGTTCTTTGGTATGTTGAACAACTTCTTTCAAGACACATTTTCAATCAATTGTAGTTCGTTCTTGTAGTCTTTACACATTGCTCAGAACATTAGCTGCTGTTTATTGAAGTATTGTAGTTTTTATCATGATATAAAGCTTCTTCTCGAAATATCTAATCCATATTAGTTATTAATTTCCGTGTAATGTTAAAATTTAAATTCAATCTTAATGATTTTAATGCATTTCTGTGACAATTATGATCTTTTTTGTAATCGAAGTTTTTGTGTAATTAGGAGAAGTCTGGATTGTTGAACAAACTAGATTATTGAACCACTTGAATAAACACTCAATAATTTATGCAAAATTTAAATTTAAAAAAAAAAATTGTGGTAAAAGTTTCTAGCATTACAAATACCGTCACATTTATGAATTTTTAATAAAGCTTTGAACTTTTGACATCAACATTTTACAAATTTCTTTTCCTCCTTCCTTCTATCATTATTTTTTATTTCTCGATATAATGATCCGACGTCTTGTGCTTCAAGTTCAATAAAATTTAGCTGACAATTGCATTATTTTGCCTCAATTCAAAATTTTGATGGATGATTTATTGGTTTTTTAACATCAGCTGATGAAGCAATTTTTCAATTTATGATGCAAAGTTAATAGAACTTTCTTTCTTCTAGGTATGTTAAATTGATGTGGGATAAACTAAAGGCGTAGTCACTCAATCCGATTTTGTAGATGGAAAGAGATCACGTGGAAGGCCAAAGAACTCATGGAAAGAGGCTGTTGAAAGTGACAATGTTGCATTTGGAATCGGCAATTGGCAAAAGGTATAGCTAGTTTTAGCGGACGACTAAGGGAGGTCATGAATCAAAATTGATCTGTACGACCAGCCAAGACAAGAAAGAAGAGTTGGAAACTCAAAATTATGCTAGGATTATTCAGGCATATTGGGATTAATCAAAGTGACCACACCTTGGATAAATTATTGAAATTATTTGATTATGTTATTTCAAAAACTTAATCTATAGCTTTCATTTAAAGCAAATTTATGTATCTCAAATAATAGCGAAAATTTAATGAAATGAGGAACCAAGCATGCACAACTATTTTTGAACAAAAAACTTCCCATTTACATAACATAACGTCATGAAAATTTCTTTTTATATGCTTCATATACTTTATAAGCACACTGTGAATGCAAGTTTCATTCAATTTAAAATAAATTTAATAAGTTCTAAGAAAATATTAAATTAAAAATCTGAGAACATGGAGTGGCAATAAATGGTCTAATGCCAACAAAGTCATGCCACTGAAAACATGATTTTTTCACATTTGCCATATAATCGCTTAAAATAAACATTTCTTCAGATATCTTTGCGTTTCTAACGCAAGCCATGGTAAAAAATAATATTCAGCTGTGGGATCCAAAGCAAAAGAAAATGTGCATGTGCAATTGTGTCTCATATTAAGGGTGATTTTAATAACAATTATTAATTACAAAATTATAATATGCTGTTGAGTGGGATTTTGTCATTCGTTTTTTAGCACGTACTTATGCATTTAAAATTTTTGTTCATTAAATTAGCATGCACATGAATTGTTGAAAAGCAGTAGAATGGTTCAAGCGAAAAAATCCAGCAAATTCTTATTTATATTGAGACTTGAATTAGTTACAATAATATATCACCTGCCGCTCCAATTAATCATGAAAAGACTCTATGAGCTTTCATAAAATATAAAAAAAAAAAATATTGAAGTTGGATGCACAGTTCGATCCATCAATGGATCATAAGCAAAAAAGAATTGCAATGATTAAGTGGCAAATCATCAATCTAAATTATGCTGATCGCCTTTTAAGGTCTCTGTGGCAATTTTAACTGTCGGAAGAATGTACAAAAGCACAACTCAATTTCAATATTGAGTTGATCATGCTCGAATAAATTTTTACGATGATGTTACGGCTGCTGTCACTTTGGTCTATATTTAATCGATAATTCCCCGCATCATTTTATGTGACATTGAAAATGGAATTTTTATTATTGTCAATTTATGTGTTTTACTATTCTAGTCTCATCTTATGCCGGATTTAAAAAGGGAAAGGAAATTTTATGACTTGAAAATTTTTATTCATTAAAAGAGGTACAATCTCAAACTGAAATTTTCACAATTAGAACACTAAAGTGCTTAATGAGCAGTCATTAAGTATGCAAATTAATATGGTACGGTTTTGAGCATGGATTCAATCTCTTTAGAGTTCTTCTGTGTCTAAAATTCTAATAAGATTAGTTAATCTCCATTTCAAAGGCATGCCATTATTATGTTAATTTTTTTTTTTGGATAGATCCTTTTAAGATCCTTTGTTAATATGATATTCCAAAGCCAAATTTATCCTAATTATATAAGACCATTGATATACCTCAATAAAAACATCCATTTAATTATTTACAAGCTTTAATTTTATAAAACTGAAAAAAAAAATATTATATTGCATCAATTAATAATAATGTGATAGGGTTCCAACCAAGCGATGTGTTACTTCACGTTGCAACGAGCAGGAGGCACTGCGATCCTGATCGATGATAGAATCTATTGTACCGTTCCCTGTGAATGAGTTTAGATAGTATTAAGTAGCTGCATTAGATTAAATTAAATAATATGGAATAAAATAAAACAAAAAACTCATATTATATACTTTTGTCAACTTTAATTCTTTTTTACAGTTATTAGATTACATTAACATTAGAATGTCATTACTTTGAGCAATACACTTCAATTATTCATTTATGCATCTGCGGATATACGTAATAAAAGTCATTCATGCATTGCAATATTGAGTATCAATTTTCATATGTATACAATCATGTGGATGAACATGTCTGCATGCAATAAATTCATAATTAAACTGACCTAAATTCAGGATTTTTTTTTTCTGTTTCTAGATAAAAAGTTGCACAATGATATTCATAAGATTATTATAGTAACTTCTATGCATGACATCTAACATCCATCATCAATGACTTCCATTCTTTTCTTGATGGTGTGAAGCTTTAGCAATGCAAAACTTTCAATATTCAAATGCAATTAAACAGTTGCTGTGGAAAGGATGGCATTTCAAAAAGTTTTAATTACAAAATTTTTTGATGTGATTCAAAACTTAGGAATGAAAAGGAATCGTTATAAATATTCTATTTATACTAAACTTTTCTTATAGTTGTATATTGAGTTCTATGGAATCACAATCAAATCAAGTTTTTCTAGATGAAAAGTTATCTTGACGTATAAAGAGCTGACGGCTAAGTTCCTTATTTTTTTAAAGCATGCAAAGTTTCATTAAAAATTAGCCAAACCTTAAAGGTAATGATAAAAAGTCAAAATATTTTTTGGACTTTGATGGTGTCTGAGCAGAATGGAATCTGAGGTATTGAATCATATGTAGGCGAGTGCGAGCGTGAGGCCTTGACGTAATAGGTATATGGAAAAAAATTAGCAAAATATGGTATTTTGTTTTGGAACCTAGTGAGCAGCTCTGATGCATCAAAGGAGTAATAAAAATTTAAGTTTACAATTATTATGCAGTTAAGCAATAATAAAGAAAATCTATATTTTTAAATTCCTAGTCAATAAAACTGATTGAAAAGTCTCAAAGAATTAACAACGATTAAAGTAATTATGTGTTTAATTGCTCAAATCTAATGAAATTAAAGTGATAAAAGGTGAAGCAACAACATTAAAAAGTTTCTCAATTGCTTTATTTCTTTCATTGTAAAAATTGCAACCTTGAATGTTTTAATTATCGCGTAGGAAGTGAAGTAGAAAAATGATTTCACATGCTACATACATTCATTCTGTTGTGAACTTTCTTCTTTAAACTTCAAATTCAATCCTTTGAATACTTTCATGAATACAATGTAAGTGAAGATGATGCCCATGAGAAATACAAACTTTTTGCATTTCATAAGACTTAATGAGACTAACATCTTTCCCCTGAGTGACCTCGAACATCAGTCACTTTTGTTACATCTGTAGATTATTTCATAATATAAAAATTGCAAGAAAATATGTATGCAAATTAAAGCTTATTGACAGAGGAAATGTAAAACATCTTCGGTTCAATTGAACTTTTATATCCATTTCTGGTTTGCTCATTTTCGGGTCGTATATAATTCACAGCAATAACAATAAAGAAAATCAATCCTCTTTAACAAGCTTGTTCTTTTATAATAGTCACAGTAAAAATACTTCGTGTACGTGCTATATGTAGTTAATACTTTGACATATTAATTGCTTATGACTCTGAAGTATAAATACTGCCTCGAGCATTGAATATAGAGCTACTGTAAGTATCTCACTCATTTTTCTATTTATCAAAATGATTCGTGCATTTTAAATTTTGATTTATATTCCCATTTTCAATTGACGAGCAGTTTTTGCTGAAATTTCCAGCTTATATCCTTAGATCTAATTTTTTTAAAATTTAAATTTTTCAAAAATATGTTACCGCGAATCACGACAAAATTAAATCACTTACCAAATGGGATTCATAAATTTATTTGAAAATGGGAATTCGTGTGAATATGCATGAAGCTCCCCGAGGTCGTATATTAAATTGTGAGTGTTTTTACATTCACTTCACATCTTTCAGTTCTTCTGCCATTCTATATATGTATCATGATGATGATTATATGCATGTTTTTACTGCTACAGTTTTACTTTACAAACTTCATGTACTTTATGTATGACATAATTAAATTAAGCTCAGAAAAAGAAACAATTTTTTTTATAAGCGAGTAATATCGTAACCAAGTAGGAGAAG